TTTTTTTTTAATTATGTGTTTATTTAATTTCTTTACAATTCTTTCACCAATACCTTCCCTGATTTCATTTCAAACATTAATTTTTAACAATTTCTGTCCATGTTTTATTTTGTTTTAAATACAATTTAATTAATTAAACTCTATTACGCTGCTCATTGAAGCAATTTTCTGTTGTCTGTATCTCTAATTTATGTATCTGTACGAAACGTAATGTTAATAATGTATGTTTATTGACAGGATCAACATCATGGCATACGTAATCCATAATTGCTCCGTTCTACTTCTAGCTCAAGCTTGAGTCTGAAGAATCTCAGCGCATTGCACAAACTCTGTTGCACCAGCAAGGATCCTGAAATACTTTGAGTAGATTTTTAAACTCCAAATTTTGCCCGGGCAGCGTGGTTAGGCTACTCTTTTTTATTTCCAACTGCCAAGTGTTTTTTACCAGCGCAACAATAAACACAGGCATCCAAGTAGGGTGAAATTATTAGACATCCACATTAAAAAATCCCAGCCCTCCCCGGGGCTTGAACCCGGGATCTCTTCCACTCGAGGCGGACACTAAGCCTCAAGACACCACAGCCCCCTGTTAATAATATAATGAACAAATATTCTCACCTGCCACATCACCTTGACCCCTATGTTGACCTTTCACCCATGACCCTGTTGAACACAGTTGAGATGTAATCAAATACAGATGCCTGTAACCCGATTTCTCCGATGCATACAGAAATGCAACTTCATTTTCGGAGGTTTGTGGGAAAAAATGGAGAATGTCATGGACCTGTAGAGAAGAAAAATATAACGTTACTATTGAAAGAATAGTGAGTCTTCTTGGCAACCTTAATAAATAAATCCAAGGAAGCACAACTGGTTCTGCAGTGGATAACAGCAACCTGTGGAATTCAAGGAAATGAGAAAGCAGACGAGCTGGCAAAAACGGAGTAATCTTCCCCAACCTCATCCACCATAGAGCTACAAGGAAACCAAAGCAGCTCTAAAGCAGTCTTTCAAGGGGGAGTGGAGAAGGCAGAATGGAGATTACAGACCAGAGAGTGACAGCATAAACAAACTCAACAGGAAAGAACAAACATCAATTTTTAGACTTCGGACTGGACACTGTGGTCTTCGAGCACATTTGTACAGGATAGGCATAAAAGAATCTGCTGCCTGTGATTGTGGAGCAGAAAGACAGACCCCTGAGCACATACTGCAGCACTGCCCTAACCTCTTCCAGCAAAGACTGTGGATCTGGCCCAAGGGAACCACATTGCGAGAGAAGCTATGGGGGACCGGTGGCGGCCTTAAACGCACAATCCTATTTGTGACCCAGACGGGACTCAATGTTTAGCATGACTGATGTCGAAAGCAGAAGAAGAAATAGAAGAGAGCAATTATGTTGACTATTTTTTCTGGAATTCCATAATGTCGTAAAATTTTTCCATAGACTGTCTCTATGGACGTGGTCAAAAGCTTTCTCAAAGTTCACAAAGTTTATATATATACTTCTCTGCCATTCATTGCATTGTTCTAAAATGTTACGTAGGGTGAAGATGTGCTCAGTTGTTCCTCTGCCCTTTCTGAATCCTGCTTGTTCCACTCATAGGCATTTATCTACTCCTTTTTCAAGCCGCATTATGATGATTTTACAAAATATTTTGCTTGGTACTGAGAGTAGAGTAATTCCCCTCTAATTATTGCAGTCTGTTAAGTCTCCTTTTTTGGGGGATTTGGACTATTGTTCCTTCAGTCCAGTCATCAGGCAACACTTCTTTTTCCCAAATATCCTTGAACAATGGTTTTTGAATGCTAGCAGTTGTGTTGAGATCTACTTTGAGAAGTTCTGCTGGCAGTTCGTCTTTGCCTGGTGCTTTGTTGTTCTTCAAAGTGTGGATAGCTTTAAGGATTTCTTGTTTGCTTGGTGGTTCAGTAATAATGTCAATGTCCTGAGAGGCTGGTTGAATATCTGGGGGAATTTTCAGCATCACGACTGTTCAAAAGGTCGGAGAAGTGTTTAGTCCACTGCATGTCTTGTTTTTTGTTCTGTTCTGTGTACCTGTATTATAGCTTTCAATAAAAGCTAGGATGGAGCATGGGAGAAGTGGTTACAACCACCTATAGTTATAGACTGACTCTATTACACTACTTACAACCTTGCTGAATGAATACTTGTATCCCAAATGTTTATAACCTGAATAAATGAATGCTTGTATCTATGTTTATAAGTAACCTAATACATACTTTATCCAGGGCTTTTTTCTTCTAGAAAGAACCAGAACTCACCACAAAGTGTCTGTTACTGTAATGAGGCCTAAAAATAAAATAAAAAAAGATGGTACAGCATATTATTTCATACCACCAAACAAAACAAAACAATGGCAATGCCTATATCTATAATGTTTATAAGTAACTGAATAAATATATGTATCTATAATGTTTATAACCTAACAGTGAGTACTTGTATCTAATGTTTCAAACTAACAAAGAATGCTTGAATTTATAACGCTTAAAACCGACAATGAATACTTGTATCTATAATATTTATAAGTAACTGAATGAAAAGTGAAGGAATACTTGTATCTATAGGGTTTATAACCTAGCAATGAATACTTATTTCTAAATTGTTGATAACCCAACTAAATGAATACTTGTATCTATAGTGTTCATAATTTGTATCTAAAATCTTATAACCTAACAATGAATACTTGAATCTTAAATGTTTATAACGCAACTAACTGAATGTTTGAAGCTATAATGTTCATAATTTTCAGCTATAATGCTTATAACCTAACAATAAATACTTGTAACTAAAGTTATTATGTAACCCAGCTGAATGAATACTTTCATCTGTAAATGTTTATAACCTGTTTCTAATATTTACAAATATAAACATTCTTATAACCTTAGTGAAAGCTTACATTTGTAGTGGCTTATCTAACTGAATGAATACATACATCCTGGGAGAGCTAACCTGGAAATGAAATACCTGCAGAAGTCGGATGTATTGGCTGAAAGGTACAGATATCACAGCCATTTTATAAACAGGCACAACACATTTACATCTTTGGATTAACACAGAAGAAGTAGAAGAAAATGAAGAAGAAGAAGAAGAAGAATACATGTATCTGTAATGTTTATAACCCAGCTGAAATATTTGTGAATCCAAACATGCTTATAATCTAACTTGGAATACTTATAATTTCAATATCTGTTATTAAAAAAAAAAAACATGTTGATAATTTAATCACAGAAGCACTTGTTATTTTTATAATTTGTGAAAATTCTCCTGACTGATTGCACACTTGTGATTGATATTGTCAGACAGCACAAACTCATAACCCTGACCAAGTGACCTCATAACCTAGTTAGACTGAGTGACCTCATGACCCAGTTTGTAATCCAGTTAGACTAAGTGACCTCATAACCCATTTAGACCGAGTGACCACATAACTTAGTTAGACCAAGTGACCTCATAACCCAGTTAGACCAAGTGACCTCATAACTCATTTAGACCGAGTGACCTCATAACCCAGTTAGACCGAGTAATCTAACAGTGACATTTATTTCCTCTGCAGCTGGTGCGGCTGGACTCATTTTCTGTGTACTGGAATAGCAGAAGTGATTTACTGCTGGAGAAATCTAAGAAAACTATTTTGGTGAGGTTATGTGTATAGAATCATCATATAGAGCATGTTGTCTGTGCCACTTAATGTGCATTCCAGATATATATATATATATATATATATATATATATATATATATATATATATATATATATATATATATATATATATATATATATATATATATATTACACGGTTTGCAGTTTTCTGGTCGTTTCTTGCTACAAATACATGGCTTGTCTGTCTCAAGTTGCTGACACTTTAATACATCCAGTAGGTACAAACAGGAACTAACTACAAGATACTGTTAAGGGTTGCTTATTTTATATGACAAAACATAGCATTTTGACTTGACTAATGTGTGTAACAGTGTAATTCTGGTTTTACTTGATGATGTTTTAACAGTGGCATTCTGGTTTGAATTGATGATATGTGTAACAGTGTCATTCTGGTTTGACTTGATGTTTTAACAGTGTCATTCTGGGTTGACTTGATGATGTTTTAACAGTCATTATGTTTTGACTTGATGTTTTAACAGTGTCATTCTGGGTTGACTTGGTGATGTTTTAACAGTCATTCTGGCTTGACTTGATTATGTTTTAACAGTGTCATTCTGGTTTGAATTGATGATGTTTTAACAGTGTCTTTCTTGTTTGAATTGATGATGAGTGTAAGAGTGTCATTCTGGCTTGAATTGATTATTTGTTTAAAAGTGTCCTGTTGATTTGACTTGGTGATGTTTTAACAGTGTCATTCTGGTTTGAATTGATGATGTGTGTAACAGTGTCATTCTGGGTTGACTTGATGTTTTAACAGTGTCATTCTGGTTTGAATTGATGATTTGTTTAAAAGTGTCATGTTGATTTGACTTGGTGATTTTTAACAGTGTCATTCTAGTTTGAATTGATGATTTGTGTAACAGTGTCATTCTGGGTTGACTTGATGATGTTTTAACAGTTATTCTGGTTTGACTTGATGATGTTTTTACAGTGTCATTCTGGTTTGAATCAATGATTTGTTCAACAGTGTCATTCTGGTTTGAATCGATGATTTGTTTAACAGTGTCATTCTGGTTTGAATTAATGATTTGTTTAACAGTGTCATTCTGGTTTGACTTGATGATGTTTTAACAGTGTCAATCTGGTTTGAATTGATGATTTGTTTTAAAGTGTACTTTTGGTTTGACTTGATGATGTTTTAACAGTGTCATTCTGGTTTGAATTGATGATGTGTGTAACATTGCCATTCTGGTTTGACTTGATGATGTTTTAACAGTGTCATTCTGTTTTGAATTGATGATGTTTTAACAGTGTCTTTCTTGTTTGAATTGATGATGAGTGTAAGAGTGTCATTCTGGTTTGATTTGATGATGTGTGTAACATTGCCATTCTGGTTTGACACAATTGATATATGTAACAGTGTCATTCTGGTTTAAATGACTGATGTGTGTGATAGTGTCATTCTTGTTTGACTGGATGATGTGTGTAACAGAGTCTTCTAGTTTAATTTGATGATATTTATGACCGACAGTGAATGCTTTCCACTATGAAGTGGTTGAGCCACTGTTGTTTTGAACATCCTTTTGCTCTCCAATACAGATGTTTCACAGATTCCTGGAGGTTGTTACTGGAGCTGTCCAATTTTATGCTTTCTTTGTGTAACACTCTTGGAGTCAGACAATCACTACATAGATAGAGACCTAGCCATGTGTGACAAATCCAGCTGCAGTAAAGTCAGGTCTTTTGCCTCTGAACACATTCATCATCATGTAGCAGGTCCTTTGCAGAACGTCGCTCTCATCACAGTCTGCCTGAAAGAAACTCGGTCTCTTGCCAGTTCTCCCGCCTCATGCACTTTCACACTCAAGGAGTCACTTATATCCTGTGCCCATCTTTGTGTCGGTCAGACTTAAGGCCGTCATCACAACTACCCTTACTTGCTCTGCCATCGTTCTCTTCTCCAGTTCGCGTTTGTGATATGCCTGGCCTGGGGGCCTCACCATCAGATCTTTAAGTTTAATTTTTGCTTCCATGATGAGTTTCTTGGGATAGTAATGTGGTAGTTTCCCATTGCTTTCCACATCCACATGGCTTTAGACTACGTCTTCAGCCTTCAGCAACCTTTTTGATTGCTAGGGTAAGTGAGTGCCTGCTCTGTGATGCTCCTGCTAACAGAGGTGTCCACTTATCCCGGCGGATACTCGGTCCCCATAGCTGCGTTGGCCACACCGCAGTGTGTTTACCGTCCTTTACCGCGTGGAGATGCAGTTGGGGTTTTTCCTTCACTGAGTCTTGAGACCAGAATGGCATTTCCCAAAACTCTCCATTACTTTCAGAGGACCTGACACATTAAAAGGGCTAAAACTGACTGCCAGAAAATTACACGCACATGCATGCACAGATATACTGTACCATAAAGAAAGCTAATTTTCAGCAAAACTTACACAGTGACAGTCATTGAAACTTACAGGCTGTTATGTTTCTTGTCCCTAGAGTGTTTTGGCAGATAGCATCCCAAAGCTAGGAAGCAAGTCAGCCCACCAACATTGTGAGTAGTCAGTAAGGCAGTCAGAACAGACTGTGAAGTAGTGTGCTGGATGAAAGTGGTAGTCATGATAGAAATTTAAACTGGAAGTTAAGTGTGATATGTAGCCAGGTATAGAATGCATTCAACCAGAGGTTCATTGAAAAAAAAAAAAAAAAAAAACATTAGCCTCCATGAAAAATCATTCTGCGATGGCTACAGATAGTGTAATTTATACAAACTTGAAAAAAAATTTTTTTTTTAAATAAATGTAAAATGGAAATAAATGAATCATTGAAATACAACATATTTTGTTTACAGAAATAATCATACTATATTAAAAAACCATATCTAAAATTTTTTTTTTATGTCATTAATTTTCTTTTCTATGGCTAGATTGTTCCTCTTCAACAACTTTGCCAGGGCAGTGATCTTATTTCCACTTCTTTGAAATTTCCAATTACCATAGAATTAGTCATAGGCACCAATGGCCTCGTTTTTCACCATTAACCAAATGCTGCGAATCCAGTCTCACCATCAGGGAAGTTTTTGAAATCATTACTGGCTAGTAGTTTTTGTAAACATTTCAAGTCCTTTGATGAAACTCACATCTTCTGATTCTAAAATAGACACCATTACCTCTGCATCACACCACTATAGGCAATTCTGTAAGTTAATTATAATATTAGATGCATCATTAATCAGTGAGTTCTATTAGTTGTGTCAATATGTTATGTAACTGTCAGCTGTGTCAACACTGTTGTTATGTAACTGTTAGTGTCAGCTGTGACCCGACTGTTGTTATGTAACTGTTAGTGTCAGCTGTGAGAAGACTGTTGTGTAACTGTTAGTGTCAGCTGTGACAACACTGTTGTGTAACTGTTAGTGTCAGCTGTGACAACACTGTTATGTAACTGTTAGTGTCAGCTGTGACAACACTGTTGTGTAACTGTTAGTGTCAGCTGTGACAAGACTGTTGTTATGAAACTGTTAGTGTCAGCTGTGACAACACTGTTGTTATGTAACTGTTAGTGTCAGCTGTGACAACACTGTTGTGTAACTGTTAGTGTCAGCTGTGACAACACAGTTATGTAACTGTTAGTATCAGCTGTGACAACACTGTTGTTATGTAACTGTTAGTGTCAGCTGTGACAACACTGTTGTTATGTAACTGTTAGTGTCAGGTGTGACAACACTGTTGTGTAACTGTTAGTCTCAGCTGTGACAACACAGTTATGTAACTGTTAGTGTCAGCTGTGACAACACTATTGTTATGTAACTGTTAGTGTCAGCTGTGACAACACTGTTGTTATGTAACTGTTAGTGTCAGCTGTGACATGACTGTTGTTATGTAACTGTTAGTGTCAGCTGTGACAACACTGTTGTTATGTAACTGTTAGTGTCAGCTGTGACAACACTGTTGTGTAACTGTTAGTGTCAGCTGTGACAACACTGTTGTGTAACTGTTAGTGTCAGCTGTGACAACACTGTTGTTATGTAACTGTTAGTGTCAGCTGTGACAACACTGTTGTTATGTAACTGTTAGTGTCAGCTGTGACAAGACTGTTGTTATGTAACTGTTAGTGTCAGCTGTGACAACACTGTTGTTATGTAATTGTTAGTGTCAGCTGTGACAACACTGTTGTTATGTAACTGTTAGTGTCAGCTGTGACATAACTGTTGTTATGTAACTGTTAGTGTCAGCTGTGACAACACAGTTATGTAACTGTTAGTGTCAGCTGTGACAACACTATTGTTATGTAACTGTTAGTGTCAGCTGTGACAACACTGTTGTTATGTAACTGTTAGTGTCAGCTGTGACAACACAGTTATGTAACTGTTAGTGTCAGCTGTGACAACACTGTTGTTATGTAACTGTTAGTGTCAGCTGTGACAACACTGTTGTTATGTAACTGTTAGTGTCAGCTGTGACAACACTGTTGTTATGTAACTGTTAGTGTCAGCTGTGACAACACTGTTGTTATGTAACTGTTAGTGTCAGCTGTGACAACACTGTTGTTATGTAACTGTTAGTGTCAGCTGTGACAACACTGTTGTTATGTAACTGTTAGTGCAGTAAAATGTATCCAGCAGAAAAGTAATTATAAACTGACCTGCATTGTCATCAGTGTAACATGACTGCCTACATTGCATGATTCAGTCTAATGACAAACAAAAAACTGTGTACTTTACATGTCATGTACAAAAAGTAAAGTATAAGCTGTATGGTTTTCTCTATTCTGGAAGACTTTTATAATGCACAGTAGTTTATCTGTTGAGATTGACAGGTATGCCACTTGCAGTTTTCTGATTTCTGGTGCTCCAGCCTATCCAGCCTGGTGGCACATATTCAAATAAAGTGGTCTCAAAGGAGTTTATGCCTTTTTGTATATTGAATATGCTATTAGCCTCATATCTTCCAGGCAGTACTGAGTAGGGGATGTTCAAATCATATTAGTCACGTGTATTTCCAAGTTTTTTTTCTTGGTGCCCACTTAAAACTTGCACAGCCTGTGAGTGCAGACCAATCTTAAGAAATCTGCATCTGTAGAGATTTGAATGTTTGACCACATGGTGGCAGGCAGGCAACTGTGAAATACACCATGAGTAATTTTGTGAGTGATTTCATCATTGACCATGGGGCAAGCAGGTAACTAAAATACAACATGAGTATTTATGAGTGATTTCATCATTGACCACAGGACAGGCAGGCAATTGTGAAATACAACATGAGTAATTTATGAGTGATTTCATCATTGACCACAGGACAGGCAGGCATCTGGGGAATACAACAGGAGTAATTTTGTGAGTGATTTGATCATTTATCATGGGGCAGGCAGGTAACTGTGAAATACAACATGAGTGATGAAATCATTGAGCTGCTGTCTTGACTGTCAGTGTTTCAGCCAATCTCTGCAGTGGCACATCTGCGCTTGAACACCAAACCTGAACTGATGAACCTGGCCCTGCCCAAAATACAGCTGACCTTAGTGTTTGATGAAATTACAGTCAACCTCTCTAAAGATCAGGTATGGGGGATCTGTTTGCACAAGGATTTTAACTGTTTGTATGTTTGCTGTTTGTATGTTTCGGGTATTTATCTTAATGTTTGGAGTAAATGGTAATAGAAGGGGAAGAAGAGGAAAGGGTCAGCCAGTACAATGATTGGTGTTGGATATCAAGAACACTCTGGACAGCAAAGTTCTTCAGGACAGTTGGCAAGAGACAGCCTGGCTATCCTGTGTGCCACGATGAGTGTAACGTTCTGCAAAAGACCTGCTACATGATGATGATGATTTTGCTTTAAAACAACACTGGTTGTTACCATTAGAAAGAAATTGAAAGAAGTAGAAAAGGGGCAGATAGAGGGTAGATGGAGATGAGCACAAACACAGTTAAATCAGTTAGTTTATTGTAATATTTGAACTGATTAAAAGTGTTGTTTGTGTTCATTGTCTTTGGTAAAATGTTTTTGAATTGACTCACATTATCCAGAACTTGCTGTTGGTGCCCAGACATTTCTGATATGTTGTTTTCAGGAAGATGGTATTAAGGTTATTTAACTAGTTTCATTCTGTAATACGGTCTGGGCTTTTTGTCTGCAGTATGCAATGGTATTCTGTACCAACTTCCACCCCTCCTCCCCAGTTCTACCATAATAGACTAATAGACACTGTGTAATGAGAACTGGTACCTTTTTTGTGTATACACATATGTACAATACAAAAAGGTACCATCACTCATATTACCTATATATATATATATATAATAAACAAACAGACAATGTATTGATGAGCACTCATAGAAAGAAGTAGAAAGACAACACCAGACAACATAAAAATCGAAAGCTATAGTTACTGTGCTAGGAATCAAACCTGTCACCACCAAATGACATGTGTGCCTCGCTATGGAAAAAAGTTTACTAAGAATATGACCAACTGGGCATTCCTCAAAAAAAAAAAAGGTATCTTTATTGTCCATGTCTATTGTAAAGCTTGAAATCCACAAGTATGGAATATGGACAGAACATCTCAAACCATTAAAATGGCACCACAGATTTCAGAAAATTATATTAACCAAGCATAGGTTGAATAACAAACACACCAACAATTTACAGTCACCACAGACCATAATGCTTTGTTGAGAATACACAAACATTTAAGAAAGAGATTAAATTGGTTGGTTACATTGTGTTTCACGTCCTTCACATCAGTTGACAGAGGTGGAACCCTTGAGGCCATATAAATATTATAAATATAATAAACCATTCAATGTTTATGTTGTCTAGTGTGTCCTTCTATCTTTCTACTTCTTTCTGTAGGCTCTCTAGCATAGTTGGCTAAACCGGATTGCGCGGAGACCGGGTGACGAACTCCTTGTGGTCCAGGTTCACTCCCGGGGGTAGGCAGGAAATCCACATTTCTCCCAGATTTATGGTATTTACAATGGAATCAAGGCCGAAAGGTTGCGATATCCATAATACCTAGCCTAAGGATTAACAACTCATGGCTTCTGGAAACTAAAACAAACAAACTTCTTTCTGTGAGTGCCAATCAATACATTGTCTGTTTGTTTATTATACATATAGCCCTAATAACGCTATGGCCTCAATAATTTCCCCTCTGTTTATTTACCTTTTTTTGTAGTTGTACTTCATGTTTCTTTAGCCAGGTCTGATTTTTTATAACACTCAGCAACAGTAAAACTGTACCAGAAATGAAAGTAGCTCATTGTAACTAATTTTGGTGTGCTGAAAATGAAAATGACATGAGAAAATGTTTATTAGCTCTAGTTTTCAAGATATATGCTACTAGTTTATTTAATTACAGTCAATTTATAAATATATAAATGACACAGCTGTTGTAGGTGATTGCATAATTTCTGTTTCCCTAATGACCAGTGAACATGTAACTATAAGTTGGTGATGCAGTCCTACCTACAAATACATCAGCTTTGTGAATAAATATCTCTGAAAACAATTTTCAATTTGTTTTAGTGCATTTGGCCTTAACAAAAGTATTGCAGTCAGAAATATCATGACATGTGTGAACAGCAATAATAATATATGTTGTGTGTGTGGTGAAGTGACATGTCTATCACGAAAATGAAATATATATATATAACCCTAACGATATATATATATAAAGTGATTAAGAAAGCATATAACCCTAACGATATATATATAAAGTGATTAAGAAAGCATACGGTTTGTATTTTGGCTGCAGAATAGAAGATCAAGAGATGGCCCACACATATGCTGCAGCAAAGGTACAGCACATTTTAAATTGGTTAACTGGCAATAGGCAAGCTATGTATTTTGCAGTCCCAATGCTTTGTAAGAGTCCAATGATCACCTCAACAACTGTTACCTTTGTCTGGTCCCTCCAGTTGGGAAAGGCATATCAGAGGAGAAGAAAATAGGGTCCGGAGTATCCAAACTTTCCCTTTACAATACATCTGGCACCATATGACGATGACCTACCAGTACCCAAAGTGCCACAATTATTTTTCTACTGCTTCCACTGATGAAGAAGAGGACAATGGTGGCCTTGAACCACCAACCTCAAGCCACCCAGATTTTCAGCAAACTACATCCCCTAAACCCCTTTAATAATCGAAAGTGAAATGAATGATCTTGTAAGAGATCTGAATTTAAGAAGAACAAGACAGAGCTTTTGGGTTCTTGGCAGAAGATGTTACAAATTATGTGAACAGGAACCAGCAGAGTCCGTTTATTACATTCATTTTCAAAGAGGTTTCAGTGTCCACTACCTTTCTGGGTAATTGGTAGCCCCAGAAGAGTGGGAGCTTTTCATTGGTTCATCTAAGATGAGTCCTAAAGCTGTTTTGTTCATTAATGGTATCATGTTACCGTCGATTACATGTGGCCACACAGTTAATATGAAAGAAACTTTTGAAACCATTAAGCAGATTATAAGGTGTGAAAACTACCATCATCATCATTGGTCACTATGTGGTGACTTAAAAGTGGTAATTCTTGCTCAGTCGACAGGTTGGATTCACCAAGTACTGTTGCTTTCTCTGTGAATGTGATAGCTGTGCTTGAAGTGACCATTAAATCAGAAGACAGTGGCCAATCAGGCGGTCAATAAAATAATGGTACCTAGATGTGAACACTGGAAGTGACCAGATACCTTTTTACCACCAATTGACATAGAAATATTTTGTACCTAGATGTGAACACTTAATGTGACCTTATACATTTTTCACCCCCAGTTGAACATAGAAAACAAAATGTGTACCCAGATGTGAACACTGAATGTGACCAGACACCCTTTCACCCCCAGTTGACATAGAAATATTTTGTACCTAGATGTGAACATTGAATCTAACCAGATACTTTTTCATTCCCATTTGATATAGAATAACAAATTGTACCTAGATGTGAACATTGAATGTAACCAGATACTTTTTCATTCCCATTTGATATAGAATAACAAATTGTACCTAGATGTGAACATTGAATGTAACCAGATACTTTTTCATTCCCATTTGATATAGAATAACAAATTGTACTTAGATGTGAACATTAAATGTCACCTGACACCCTCTCACCATCAGTTGACTAGACATAGAAACACTTTGTACCTAGATGTGAATATTGAATGTGACAAGATACTTTTTCACCCCCAGTTTGATATAGGAATTTTGTTTACCTAGATACGAACATTCAATATGACCGGACACCCTTTCACCATCAGTTGATGTAGACACATTTTGTACATAAATGTGAACATTGAATGTGACTGGATATCTTTTCACCCGCAGTTTGATGACATTCTAGAAATGTTGGAGTCACTAGAGAGGATGGCTCTACGTAGTAAATACATGGCAACCAGACCAAATGTACCATACAGTGGCAGTGCCAGATTATGGTTTGTATAACATATTTAACTGTTTTGTGCTGTTCTGTTTGTCTTTTCACCATCTAGTTAATTTGTGCATTCTTACTCAGAGTGTATATGTGTTTCCTCTTGTAACAGAGTCACTACCCATATTGCGTTTTAATGTTGTGTTGTCTGCACAACAGGCCTTCACCCTTGTTTTTGGAACCTTTTTCACTGAGCTTAGTGATCGACTAAAAGTACATAGGTCCCTGTCCTTGGTTCCCACGATACTTCCAGCCGTCTGTCTAGACATCACGTGACTCCCATCCAGCACCAAACAATAAGTTGTTTTTCACATTGTTGGAATACTTTCGCTGACCCGGCTAGCTAAAGTCGCAGTAGACTCTGCAAAACATGGGCTGGAAGGTTCTGGGACCAGCCCGTAAGAAAGAAAATAGGGGCTTCTTGAGTGGAAATGCTATAGAAAGATTTTCAGATTACAATGGACAAAGAAGAGAAGAAATACTGACATTCTAAAAGATCTGAGCATCAAGGCATATAGGCTAATAAACAACATCCTGTCTAGATATAATATTTTGGTCATATAAAACACCATGGTGGATTGGAATAAAGAATAGCAGAAGGCATAGGGCCAGAAAGGAGGCGCAGAGGCCGACTAACATGATGATCGGCACATGATATAAGTGACTCCTAGAATATGAGGCAGGACAGCTGGCGATAGACCAAGTTTTTTTAGGCAGACCGTGTTGAGAGCAAAACTCTGCAAAGGACCTGATACATGATGTTTCTTTGATTTGTATTTTGTTGTGTATTTGTATTTAAACTCATCACATGCTTGTGCATAACCACACCTATATCACTGTCAGTTAGTAATCTGCCCTAGGTTTCTCTCGTAAAATAAAGGAGCCTTTTAATGCTGGCACCGTATCAAGCCTTTAATTCTTGACTCATATTTTTTAATGAAAATCCAGAGGAGAACAATAGTACAAAGTGGGAATATTTTAAAACTAGTATACCTACAGCAAACTACTGGACGTAAATTTGCCTAGAAAAACCACACAACAGCCAGGGGCTGTTGGGGTTGGTTCTGCAACGTCCTGTAAAAGATACACAACTAACTATACCTACATCAAATGCCAACTTACCACCAAAAGAAGGAAAGAAAAATCAAGTATGGATGACTAAAGAAATTATGAATACAATGATTCAAAGAAAGAAAGACAAAACACTATTGAGTATGTAATAATAGACATAATACATAACATGTGCAGAATTGCTAAAGAGACAGATTCAGGAGCAATGTAAAGAAATAGAAGAAGCGCAAAGTAAACTTTGGCCTAACACAAAAGAAGTGCATGAAAACATGAGAATCACAAGACAAAATTCAACAGGAAATGGATGCATCAGAGGAAAAGATGGAGAAAATTTAGTTGGTGAGAATGATATAATCACAAGGTGGACTGAGTACACAGAGGATATTTTGGGATAACAGAGGCACCAAGATGCAACTGTTTAATCCTCATGTTGGACCAAACATTTAAAAGCCGAAGTAGAGAAGATTATTACAAATATGAAGCATGGGAAAGCCGTAGGTCCTGACAAAATAACAGTGGAAATGATAAAATCAGTCTCCAACTTTGGCGTTGACAGCATCACTGAAATGAGTAATGATATTTATAATACTGGCTACATTCCAAAGGATTTGAATATGTCTATTTTCATTACACTGTTCAAAAAAGTTGGAAAAAAAACGTTGAGTGTGAAGATTATAGAACAATTAGCTTGATGAGCCATACAACTTAAATACTTCTCAAGATCATTCGAGAAAGAATACCAAGTAAAATAAATAATGAAGTGTCTGAGGAACAGTTTGCATTTTTGATTTAGGAAAAATATTGGCACTTGAGAAGCCATAATTTGTTTAAAGATGATGACTGAAAAATATATATAGAAGTCCAAAATAGTATTAATGCATGTTTCATAGATTACATGAAAAGGATTAGATGGAAATGATATCATAATTATTAGTAACCTTTACTGGGAACAAATAGTGACGGTTAGACACAACAACCTCACCTCATCACAGGTAGAGATGAAAAGTGGAGTACGTCGGGGATGTGTGTTATCCCCAAGCATTTTCAACTTATATACAGAAAACATTTTTAAACAGCTTGAGGAATCACCTTGACTGAATATTATTTAAAGAACAATAAACAATCTGAGATGCGCAGATGACACAGTGCTACTAGCCGAAAGCAAGCAGGAGTTACAAGAACTGGTTGATCAAGTCAACAAGTGTAGGGCAAAGTAGGGTTTCAACATTAACATTCAAGATACAAAAGCTGTGGTAGTTAACATAGGAAAAGAGCGACCAGCAGTGAACACCACAGTAAACGGAGGGCTATTAGTACAAGTAACAAGTTTGTCCTATCTAGGACACGTAGTAACAGATGATGGAAGAAGCTAAGCAGAAATCAAAAAGAGAATAGGAATGGCTAAAATTTCCTTGTGTAGGATGCCCAGGTTACTGACTATCAGAGAGATAAACAACACACTAACAAATAAAGACTCATCAAATGTTATGTATACTCAGTCCTGCTGTATGGTCAGACACTTGGACAATGAACAAGCAACTAGAGAATGGAATCGTCTCTCTGGAGATGTGGGTATACAGATGAATAGGTCATTGTTCATGGAAACAAAAACAGTCTAATACAGAGGTTTCAAATGAAAAGAGAATTACTGTGAAAGAAATAACAAACAGACAGTTAAAATACTTTGGCCACATTAAAAGACAAAACACACTTTTAAAAAACCATACCGGAAGTAAATATTAAAGACAAGGGAGCAAGATGTAGGAAACGATACAGGTGGGAGGAGAACATTACGAGATAGACGGGCAGCAGTCTGAGAGAGTGACCAGGATAAGAGGCAGAGCATGTTGGAGATGGAGACGGCACCTGATTGATTGACTGATTTTTATAGACCAGTCTGCATTTAGTGGGTGATGGGATCAACATAACTGAAACTAGGGTGACCTGGGAGAAAAGGTCAGTTTAAAGAAAAAGAAAACTGTCACCACTGCAGATATGAACCCATGACCTTCAGACAGGCATGCAAGTGTCTAACCAGTACTATACCACAGCTGCAATATTTGTCTTACTTTATAAGAAATGTACGAATTTTGTATGACGCCATTACATACATCACTGCATATTGTGAGGCAGGTGGAAGCATGCGTATGCTGTTGTTCTACGGCATACAGTGCAGCGCAGACGCAATATGTGGAAGTGGAACAACATGAAAAAGCACCGGGAGAATTTGAAGGAGTATAGAGAACTCTATACTCAGAAGCTGACCACCAAAACACTCGGCAGCAGAGAGATGGAGGCAATTGCTGTAAGTTCTCTCTTTCTTGTTCTTCCTATCAGTCTCCAGCTACCTAAGTTAAGTGTTGAGACGTGTGCATTGTGTGTTCTTTTCTAATGCACTGTGTAGGTTGGCCAGTGTTTCGCTAAGATTATTTGTCATGCTGTAATCTATCTCTTGCATGGTTTTCCTTTTACTCAACTTTCATTACATTTTTTTTTCACTGGTGCTCTCTGAAATAGATAGTACAAGAGCATACTTGTCAGAAAGCCCTATCATTTCATTTGTGTTGGGAAAAAAATGTTAATTACTGGTTAAGTTCTACCATTTTTTCTTTATTATAAATGTTCCCTTGTTATTCCACTAGCTCTCCTCAGATGTCTCAACTCTGTCATCTCTGTCGTTATTTAAAATATTCACAAATTCAGAAATATTACATGATTTTATTCACATTGATTTGTGTTCATCAAAGCGCGTGTGTTACTGCGCTGAAAACTTATGTGTGTTCCAGAGTGCAGTGATGTAAGTTCTTGATTCATTCTTTGATTGGTCATAGCTAGTATTTAATGATTTCTGTCTGTCATCCCCAGAACCTTGAAGAGAAGCTGGATATTCTCTCAAATGTAAAATCAATGTCACTGATATCTTTGAGTACATGTTCACTGAATGTTTGAGTACATCTTTAATGTCACTGATGTCTTTGAGTACATCTTTAATGTCACTGATATCTTTGAGTACATCTTTAATGTCACTGATGTCTTTGAGTACATCTTTAATGTCACTGATGTCTTTGAGTACATCTTTAATGTCACTGATATCTTTGAGTACATCTTTAATGTCACTGATGTCTTTGAGTACATCTTTAATGTCACTGATGTCTTTGAGTACATCTTTAATGTCACTGATACTTTGAGTACATCTTTAATGTCACTGATGTCTTTGAGTACATCTTTAATGTCACTGATGTCTTTGAGTACATCTTTAATGTCACTGATATCTTTGAGTACTTAATGTCACTGATGTCTTTGAGTAGTACATCTTTAATGTCACTGATATCTTTGAGTACATCTTTAATGTCACTGATATCTTTACATCTTTAGTACATCTTTTAATGTCACTGATATGATACATCTTTAAGTCACTGATCTTTTAATGTCACTGATATCTTTGAGTACACACTGATGTCTTTGAGTACATCTTTAATGTCACTGATGTTTTTAAGTACATCTTTAATGTCACTGATGTCTTTGAGTACATCTTTAATGTCACTGATGTCTTTGAGTACATCTTTAATGTCACTGATATCTTTACAGTCTTTTAATGTCACTGATATCTTTAAGTACATCTTTAATGTCACTGATGTACATCTTTAATGTCACTGATATCTTTGAGTACATCTTTAATGTCTGATGTCATTTTAATGTCACTGATCATCTTTAATGTCACTGATGTCTTTGAGTACATCTTTAATGTCACTGATGTCTTTCTTTGAGTACATCTTTAATGTCACTGATGTCTTTGAGTACATCTTTAATGTCACTGATATCTTTGAGTACATCTTTAATGTACTGATCTTTAATCTTTAATGTCACTGATATCTTTGAGTACATCTTTAATGTCACTGATGTCTTTGAGTACATCTTTAATGTCACTGATGTCTTTGAGTACATCTTTAATGTCACTGATATCTTTGAGTACATCTTTAATGTCACTGATATCTTTGAGTACATCTTTAATGTCACTGATATCTTTGAGTACATCTTTAATGTCACTGATATCTTTGAGTACATCTTTAATGTCACTGATATCTTTGAGTACATCTTTAATGTCACTGATATCTTTGAGTACATCTTTAATGTCACTGTCTTTGACATCTTTAATGTCACTGATATCTTTGAGTACATCTTTAATGTCACTGATATCTTTGAGTACATCTTTAATGTCACTGATATCTTTAAGTACATCTTTAATGTCACTGATATCTTTGAGTACATCTTTAATGTCACTGATGTCTTTAGAGTACATCTTTAATGTCACTGATATCTTTGAGTACATCTTTAATGTCACTGATGTCAGTACATCTTTATGTCACTGATTCTTTGAGTACATCTTTAATGTCACTGATGTCTTTGAGTACATCTTTAATGTCACTGATAATGTCTTTTTGAGTACATCTTTAATGTCACTGATATCTTTGAGTACATCTTTAATGTCACTGATATCTTTGAGTACATCTTTAATGTCACTGATATCTTTGAGTACATCTTTAATGTCACTGATGTCTTTGAGTACATCTTTAATGTCACTGATAGTACATCTTTAATGTCACTGATAGTACATCTTTAATGTCACTGATATCTTTGAGTACATCTTTAATGTCACTTTTGAGTACATCTTTAATGTCACTGATATCTTTGAGTACATCTTTAATGTCACTGATATCTTTGAGTACATCTTTAATGTCACTGATGTCTTTGAGTACATCTTTAATGTCACTGATACACATCTTTAATGTCACTGATCTTTGAGTACATCTTTAATGTCACTGATGTCTTTGAGTACATCTTTAATGTCACTGATGTCTTTGAGTACATCTTTAATGTCACTGATGTCTTTGAGTACATCTTTAATGTCACTGATGTCTTTGAGTACATCTTTAATGTCACTGATGTCTTTGAGTACATCTTTAATGTCACTGATATCTTTAAGTACATCTTTAATGTCACTGATATCTTTAAGTACATCTTTAATGTCACTGATGTCTTTGAGTACATCTTTAATGTCACTGATATCTTTGAGTACATCTTTAATGTCACTGATGTCTTTGAGTACATCTTTAATGTCACTGATGTCTTTGAGTACATCTTTAATGTCACTGATATCTTTGAGTACATCTTTAATGTCACTGATGTCTTTGAGTACATCTTTAATGTCACTGATGTCTTTGAGTACATCTTTAATGTCACTGATATCTTTGAGTACATCTTTAATGTCACTGATGTCTTTGAGTACATCTTTAATGTCACTGATATCTTTGAGTACATATTTAATGTCACTGATATCTTTGAGTACATCTTTAATGTCATCTTTAATGTCATGATCTTTGAGTACATGTCACTGATTTTAATTTGAGTACATCTTTAATGTCACTGATCTTTGAGTACATCTTTAATGTCACTGATATCTTTTAGTACATGATATCTTTAACATCTTCATGATCACTGATATCTTTGAGTACATCTTTAATGTCACTGATGTCTTTGAGTACATCTTTAATGTCACTGATATCTTTGAGTACTTTTAATGAGATACATCTTTAATGTCACTGATGTCTTTGAGTACATCTTTAATGTCACTGATATCTTTGAGTACATCTTTAATGTCACTGATATCTTTGAGTACATCTTTAATGTCACTGATATCTTTGAGTACATCTTTAATGTCACTGATGTCTTTGAGTACATCTTTAATGTCACTGATATCTTTAAGTACATCTTTAATGTCACTGATGTCTTTGAGTACATCTTTAATGTCACTGATGTCTTTGAGTACATCTTTAATGTCACTACATCTTTAATACATCTTTAATGTCACTGATGTCTTTGAGTACATCTTTAATGTCATGATATCTGAGTACATCTTTAATGTCACTGAGTACATCTTTAATGTCACTGATGTCTTTGAGTACATGTCTTTAATGTACACTGTCACTGATCTTTGAGTACATCTTTAATGTCACTGATGTCTTTGAGTACATCTTTAATGTCACTGATGTCTTTGAGTACATCTTTAATGTCACTGATATCTTTGAGTACATCTTTAATGTCACTGATGTCTTTGAGTACATCTTTAATGTCACTGATGTCTTTGAGTACATCTTTAATGTCACTGATATCTTGAGTACATCTTTAATGTCACTGATATCTTTGAGTACATCTTATTGATGTCTTTGAGTACATCACATCTTTGACTGATATCTTTAAGTACATCTTTAATGTCACTGATATCTTTGAGTACATCTTTAATGTCACTGATATTTGAGTACATTTTAATGTCACTGATATCTTTGAACATCTTTAATGTCACTGCAGAGCTAGTCACTGATGCTTTAAGAGAGAAAATGGTATAGTTTTTAGTCACTGATGGCAGTTAAATAATAGTTGACATCATTAAGCTGAGGAAATTCTCTTCTTCAGTAGCCAGTGAACAATTACAAGTTCCAGAACTGCTGTTGCTTTGCCAAGGCATATCAAAGTTTCTGTTTTCATGTTTCGCTGGCATTCAGAATCATTTCCTCAATAGGAAACTGGTCTGCTACTTTAATTCTGTTTAATTCCAGTGTAACATCTGCTTGATCTGTAATTTATATCTGAAATCAATTAACTGAGTACTTTTATAGATGCTCTTTGTGAACCAGTTTTGTTCACTGTTCCTATCCTGTAGAATAGCAATCAATATTTGTCATCTTTTTTATTTTATTTGAAGTCCATGTTATTCCACAAGTTTTCTCTAGTTTCTAAGTGTGTATGTAGCTCATGATATACATCTGCTTGTTGTCACAGGAAAGTTTCACATTCTACAAATATTGACATTGTTTTTCTGGTTAGCATAGTTTTTTTGTATGATTCTTTTTATTTTTTTTTTCTCTTCCTCCATTTACTTCATTGAAGTATTGGGGGAAATGTAAGGATTTTTTGTGATTGCTTTTTAGTATGTTGTATACATTGGTCTTCATTTCTTTTAAGCTGTACCTGATGCCACTGTTCTGTCTCATATGAGATCTTCCCCTTGCTCTGTGTCCATTGTATTTCTTTAGTGTGGCTGTCTAGGGCAGTTGGTACCAAGGCTAGTCAGCTAGTCATCTTTCCATTTCTTTATTTTTAAATTGATCTCTTCTTGTTATTTCGGCAGCTTTTCTCAGACATTTAGCCTCCTTATTTAGAATTTTATGTTTATCAGTTGTAGTAAGGGTCCAGGTTTGACACTGGAAGCATAATATTGGCCAAAAAATAGTGATTAGATGTCTTTGTTTGATGAAGTTGATACAAGTGTTCAAACATTCTTTTGTTTTTCTTCTCTTCTCCTGAATCAGGTTGCCAGAATGGACAGAAAACGAGAAAAAAATAAAGTCACAAAATGGTTTCGTAGTTGGTTCAGTAAAAAAGAGACAGAAGAAGACATCATCCCAATAAGTCGCTCCCAGTCATTTATAAACCCAGACTTCAGTAAGTAGAATCACTCTACCCATGCAGAATCCCTCAAACACATATAGAATTACTCTACCCCTGCAGAATCACTCTACACACGTAGAATCACTCTACACGTGGAATCATTTTACCTATGTAGAATCACTCTACCCCTGCAGAATCACTCTACCCCTGCAGAATCACTTTACCTATGTAGAATCGCTTTACCTATGTAGAATCGCTTTACCTATGTAGAATCCCTCAACACATGTAGAATCATGCTTGTTTCCTGTAGGGAAGCATAGCTGTCCCTACACACTTTCCCCTACACACTTTGGCATTGCTTCTCTTGCCAAGTTTAATAACATGGGTGCTAATTTTATTTACCATTGCTATATTTTATAAACTGCTGTGCTAATAGCATAACTTTAACTCACAGACAGGTTCTTCTGTAACTCTACTTTTCCTGAAAGTAATATGTATTTGGGTCTGTTATTTTGTTGCATATCATTTACAGGACATTGCAGAACCAACCCCAGCATTTTTTAGCGGTTTGTCAGCAGCCTTATTACTGACGTGCTGGCATGTGGCTTGTTTGCAAGCTACTGGCAGACAGTCTGTCAGTACGACACATTCAGCCAAACACTTACAGAGCACACACCTCAGTCTTTGATATACTCAACAATAAACAGCTGGTTGTTAGCCCAAGAAATTATGGGGCTCCCACTATCCTAAACGTGGCCGTAAGGACTTTAAAATTGCCACTTACTCCCAGACCTTCCCTTTCTAGAGATAATACCTAGGCCGAAGCCACCCTTGTTTCCAATTCAAGCTCTTGCCTCTGCCACCAGGGCTGTGGCAAGTCTGTATAGTGCGGGCCCATGTGTGAGGACAGACCAAGTCATCAATTGCTACACTAACCCTGCTAACAAAATAACTTCAATACCTAGCAAGCTACCCCATAATTTCTGCCCAAAATCCTATCTCTGTCAGACAACATACAACACTGTACTAAGATTACTGTCAAGCTGAACACATTGTCACACAGACTATCCTTCGCTGCGCCTAAATCTAAATACACTATAATTCTAACAGACACAATCTAACACAAGTTGAACAGTCGTAATGTCATATACAGAACTCCTCGTTTAAGTCCAAACCGATCCATTTTGTAATCCGTCGCAGTTCAGTTGCCAGTCCACAAAACTCGTGATTTCATTATCAGTCAACCGAATAAGTGACACTTTTCCGCTAGTCTCAGTTTGTGTTGCTAAACTGCAGGTCATGTTTCTGTTCTCTAAACACAGACATGGACATTCACTAGCATCGAAGACTATATCCCATAACCGCACTGGACTCTGACACTGTTGTGGTTTTTCTAGGTAGATGTTATGTTCAGTAGTTTGCCATTGCTTACTGAACAGTCAGCTCTTGGTAGCACTGTCGAAATCAAGGCATGACAAACCGTCTGCAGCTGGAATCAGACCCAGCGCCCCGGCATTACGAAGCACGTTCGCAACACCTATGTCACAGACAGGATTCAAATGATAATGCTGTGGGACAGAAGGAACGTTGGTAACAATGGTGATATCATGGATTCAATACAGCTGGATGAATACCAGGAGTTCTTATAAAAAAAAAAAAAAATATTAACCTCAATAAAAGCAGTTTGTTGTTTGCCAGTGGAAAATGTTCAACAAAGAGTGGCTTAGTGAAATGACCAGCCTCCATTCCTCATGTGCTGGTGTTTTCCTAGATATTTTTGGAAACCATTTTATTTGGTATGATCCAGAAACATATATTTTTCTATGTAAAGGGTACCTTTGCTGTGGCATATTATCCTATCATATGTTATCAAAATATTTTCGGCAGACAAAATAGAATAGCAGAAAGTAGATTAGGTGGTTTGTCTTGAGTGTTCACTTTCCATATTCCTTGGTAGCTGCCCTGTGAAATATCTGTCTTCAGAGCACCAAAAATGCAGGAAATCAGTCTGGATTGTTGAGTAACAAATACAACTGAGCATATTTTTAAAGAGGGAATACCAGTGTTCCCTACATTTTATAACAAATGTGGTCTTGCAAATAAACTAGGGAAGTCTGAAAATGACTCCTATTTTTATTTTATGGTCTTCATTTTTCATTCCCAACCTCTTCAAGACTTCTAAATTTATATTTGTTTAAAAGAAATATGACTTCTTATTTTTGTATGTCTAAATTTCTAGGGATTAAATTTTAAGTTTTAATTGCTTAATCATTTTCCATAATTTTCATATTTATACATTTAATATATTTATGTCTGTCTGTCAGCATATCTGTCTGTTGCTTGATTGTGTCTGCTTATCCCTGTGTAACATTTGATTATTCTCGTCTTTAATATAAAGCTAGATATGTTAAATCTGCATATATAATTCTTTGATGTTAAGATAAAGTATGGACAGATTTATTTCTGCTCCAAACTTGGGAAGGTTTACAGATATACATTAAGGAAACAAAAGTGACAGAGAATCTTGAAAGTTGTGGTTTTATTGTAGGTTCACAGACATACATTAAGGAAACAAAAGTGACATTGAATCTTGAAAGTTGTGATTTTATTGTAGGTTCATAGACATACATTAAGGAAACAAAAGTAACATTGAATCATGAAAGTTGTGATTTTATTGTAGGTTCACAGACATACATTAACTCTTTGAGTCCCAGAGGGTTTAGCATCACAGGCCCAAGGGGTAATCAAAAGAGAAGCAATATCGGTGCATCATGCGTTCATTGGGCTTCTAGGCAGTAACCTATGAACGTATGTTGCGTTCCTTGGGACTCAAAAGGTTAAGGAAACAAAAGTGACATTGAATCTTGAAAGTTGTGGTTTTATTGTAGGTTCACAGACATACATTAGGGAAACAAAAGTGACAGAAAATCTTTAAAGTTGTGATTTTATTGTAGATTCCCAGACATACATTAGGGAAACAAAAGTGAAAGAGAATCTTGAAAGTGGTGATTTTATTGTAGATTCCCAGACATACATTAGGGAAACAAAAGTGACAGAGAATCTTGAAAATTGTGATTTTATTGTAGATTCCCAAAAATACATTAGGGAAACAAAAGTGACAGAGAATTTTGAAAGTTGTGATTTTATTGTAGATTCCTCGGACATACATTAGGGAAACAAAAGTGACAGAGAATCTTGAAAATTGGGATTTTATTGTAGATTCCCAGACATACATTAGGGAAACAAAAGTGACAGAGAATCTTGAAAGTTGTGATTTTATTGAGCAGATAAATTCAGTGAGGAGTTCACAGATGATGAAAAGGGCAAACTGTACAAGGCTATTGGCTATGATGAGAGTGCTAATGATCCCACCTATCCTACAGAGGTAAGGCAGTTAGCTATATCTCTTTAGTAGGTTAATTAGTTAGTCAACAGATCAAATCATTCAAGCCATAAGTGACTGGATCCCCTCCTCATTAAATCCCTTGTAGCAGCAGCTGACACTAGTTCTAAATTGGTTTCTTATTCTTCTTTGGCTTCCTGCATAGTGCTGTTGTCTGGCCACATCCCATTTATCTTGTGGTTCTTGCAGTCTGGTCATGGTTGCAGAATACTGTAAAAAGGTGTGTCTGAAGGGTCTCGTACAACATTTTTCAACTTCATCAGGCAATGAACGGTGTCACACGACGTCAGGGTATCCCAGACTTTCAAAGTACAGATCTGAAATGGCAAAATTCTGATGCAGATAAAAGACAGGCTCTCCTTCAGTGTGACTTAGGACACACCAACCAGAACAGTGAAGCAGCCAGACACTCAGAGTTGTGTGAGTAGGCAGAGCTGAGTGATGATTTTACAATACTTGAAAAACTCACAAAATTGTCCAGTACTGCCCCAGGTCCTGATGGCATTCAATGTATGCCAATATGCTGCAGATGTTAAAGAAGGACATGACAGACCTGTCAGAAGAGTCAATGTAAGCATCATTACTGGTCAGATCAAAAAGTGGCTACACAGCTACCTGCTACTGCTTCCGAAACAATTCCACTTGTAGGATACAAGTGTAGCTAAGAGACATGGCTTAATGCAGTAGTTTTTGCCTCTGAAGCCTATGAAGGCTTTTAGGTGAGATAAGAGACATGTGCAACTGCATTAGACTTAGAAGATGCGTACAGCAGAGTACTGTTTGACTACCTGATGCACATACTTATCCAGCTGATCATTTCGCAACATACATCATGCCACCAAAAGTGAGTAGCAGCAACATACATCATGTTACCAATGTAAAATGTGTTTTTCAATTTTGGATTTACAAAGATTCAAGCCAAATGGCGGATTTCAGCCTGCCATTCGCGAGAACAGTTTGAGAATTCCATATTCATGCAAAATGGCGGATCTGGGTCTACCATTTGTGAAACTGTGTTGATTTTCATATTCAAGCAAGATGGCGGATTTCGGTCTACCTTTTGTGACATTATATTAAGATTTTCATGTATAAAGTGAATATTCATAACCCTTCACTGGATTACTAATCTTCAACTGGACTATATTGTTCAATTCATTTGGATTACTGTGTTTTAAAAGAAAATTAAGAGATTTTAAAACCTGGACAACATGTCATCAAACACGGAGACGATCGACGTACCTCCAAACAAATATAAAAACCCGATCCTACACAAGCAGGACATGCTAGTCTGCACAATTGATGGACCCATGGCGGCTGCAAAGGGCAAACCTGGTTTTATAACGAGCATATTAATTGGCCCTTTTGCCATACCGCCAGAGGATATCATAGATCTGTACCGACACGAAAGCCCGACAGAGTGGTTTTTCTGCCTGTCGCAAAGAGGTCACAACAAACTGTTCCAGAACCTGCATGGCAAATCGGTGACCCTGAAAGAAGACAATATCACCTGCAGAATTGAACAGTACGGAAAGCAGAGGAAACGGATTACACTAAACTGGCTACCAAGCCAATTGAACACCAAAGGCGTGATGGACATCGTAAAGGCGATAACGGGAGATTGTGAACCTGAAGTCTTCTCTATTCATCAGGACGAAAGGAAGTGGGGAGCGATGTGTAAGCCAACACGAGAAATACCCCACTATATATATGTTTACACCCCAGGCATAACCAAGCGTAACCACAAAGTTTTGATCACGATGCCTGACTGAAGGATTGCATGTATGTACTGCAAACAAGATGACCACTGGTCGAACAAATGTCCGGAAAAGAGGCGACGACAACAGACATATCCAACTAAAACTCCGGAGATCCCGACAGACAATCCGGAACCACAAGAAACACTTGGGAAGTCAACACAACCAGAAACCAGTCGAAAGAAAATCAAGGCGACCGATCCTCCAATTCATGAAGAGAAAGAAGCGAAACCTAGCACATCAAAGGCCCCTCCACCCACAGTGAAAGCGGTGCTACACCAGACACAACATTCGACAGATAGCACCAAGGTGACCACTTCAAGGAATAATAAGACGAAATCTAACACATCGGAAGCCACTCCACGTATAGAGAACACGATAGAAACGACAGCGAAAAGTTAAGACAACAAAAGAAACTGGCGTGGCAACCACACCCACAGTTGAGAAGGCTATGATCCAAGTACCCAAAACAGTTTCGGAGAATACAGAACCTCCAAGACCACCACCAGAACCTCCAAGACCACCACCAGAACCTCCAAGACCACCACCAGAACCTCCAAGACCACCACCAGAACCTCCAAGACCACCACCAGAACCTCCAAGACCACCACCAGAACCTCCAAGACCACCACCAGAACCTCCAAGACCACCACCAGAACCTCCAAGACCACCACCAGAACCTCCAAGACCACCACCAGAACCTCCAAGACCACCACTAGAACCTCCAAGACCACCACCAGAACCTCCAAGACCACCACCAGAACCTCCAAGACCACCACCAGAACCTCCAAGACCACCACCAGAACCTCCAAGACCACCACCAGAACCTCCAAGACCACCACCAGAACCTCCAAGACCACCACTAGAACCTCCAAGACCACCACCAGAACCTCCAAGACCACCACCAGAACCTCCAAGACCACCACCAGAACCTCCAAGACCACCACCAGAACCTCCAAGACCACCACCAGAACCTCCAAGACCACCACCAGAACCTCCAAGACCACCACCAGAACCTCCAAGACCACCACCAGAACCTCCAAGACCACCACCAGAACCTCCAAGACCACCACTAGAACCTCCAAGACCACCACCAGAACCTCCAAGACCACCACCAGAACCTCCAAGACCACCACCAGAACCAGAAGAGGCTCCGGCTCAACTTCTCAAGACAGTCTTCCAAAATGTGGAACTTCCGGACTCACCCTTGTCTCCAGACCAATCACCGACAACTAAGGACACCCCCCGGATACCAGAAGCAAGAGAGACCACAGAAAGAACAGAAACGGATGACCCAACAATAGAGAGAGATGAAAGTATATGGTGGCACTTCTTAAGAGAGTTGGGTGAGATGAGATACCTGGACCAAGTAGAACTTAACAAACACATGCCAGCAAAAGAAGAATTCTACTATAGACACAACAAAAAACTATATCGATGGTCTGGCACAGGAATATGCGGACTACCTTTGTGAGGAAGGAGAAATACAAGAATATTCAAATCTTCAGACTTTTTACGACGCAAATAAAAGGGACGTCGAAAGAACAGCAGAAAGATGGTACCAGAAATGGAGAAAATACCATTTAGACACAATCGACTCAACAACAAAAATTGAAAAAAGTAGAATAAACCAAAAAGAGGCCATACCCCTTCTATGGCTGACCTCCCATACACCCCCTTCTCTTTCTTGTGTTTTTCAAAATTCTTGCACATGACACAAAACAGACACAATCATACGGCAACACATGTAAACAGACTAAAATTAGAAAACAAGACACATGAAGGCTCATACTCACACGATAGCAGAAAAACACAATACCCGCAAACATACAAAGTTGAAATAAAGGGGAAACCCTAAAAAAAAAAAAAATGAAAGTATCTCCCTTCATCATCTGCTGGCTAGCCTCAGCCCTGTTCCAGAAACGGGTGATACTCAAGTGTGGTTGTTGGTCCTCAAAACCATTGACCATCTGCCTAAGATTGCCTCAAGGTTCTCCATCTCCAGTTCTTTTCAATGCGTAAATGGTGCTGATAAGTGAGCAGCAGTTGCCTGGGAGTGGCAGGTGTCTTTTGCTGATGACATCTTGGTGTAACATCAAGGAAGAGACTGCCAGCAGATGGCCTGTTTGGTGTGGAACAAACTTGATCTCATGTTCTCTTGGTATATGGATTCCAGTGCATATGTCAACCCTTCAAAGGTCTCAGTAACATGATTCTCCATGGCCATGCATAAAGTCAGGGCAGACTTACCAGTAGTGGAAAGCAGTGACGAAGCCTTGACAAGAACAAACCTGATGACATGTCTTGGAACGAGGTTTGATCACAGTCTTTCCTTTTAAAGAACATATTGACCATGTCATAACAAAGGCACGCAATAGCTTGTCAGCAACAAGGCTTCTGGCCACCTCCAGGACTGAGCAGAGACTGCTTCTGCTTCTGTTCAAGGGACTGGTTCTTGCTCCCAAAGAATATACTCTAGCCATTCTCAGTGTCTGTCATACTCTGATAGAAAGACTCAGAAAGGTGCAAAATGGAGCCATGCACATTATTTTATGATTCACAAGGGACCCCTCTTGCTTATTAGTGAGATAGCTTCTTGACTTTCTAACCGTGTGCTACAGGATCACGATTGGAAGGGCTCACACATACCTGAAGATAAGCTTAGATTTAAAGCACCCATTGCACCACAAGCTTTCAGAAAAAGGGGAACAGACTAAAAAGAGGCAAATCATCACTAAGCGGGCAGAGGATGATATCAAGCAGGTCTGCATCTCACATATATCCACCCTGGTAAAGAATGGATACCTTTGCCTAAAGCGCTTAATCAACCTTCTCCTGTCTCATCCTATATGATAGGTCTTGTCAGGAGCAGAATTTTATTGCTGTGGAGGCCGAGGTCCACACACTTTTCAGAGACAATTCAGATGAGGCAGATGTGCTGATCTACACAGGTGTGTCCATTGGCATTCACAGCTCACTCAGCAGGCAGATCAGTCCTGGAAGCCAGCAGAGCTTTCTCTATAACTACTAGCAGCATGAGGATGAAGGTGAATGTGGTGACAAAAAGCTTTCATGTGTCTGGAATAACAGGACTAATCCCACATGTGTGTGCTGAGTGATTCTATGAGCATGATCTTGCATGTCGGGGCAGGCTCTGTAAGCAGACATTGGATTCAGTCATTGAAAAACTCCTCTTTGCCTGCAGTTAGTTTCATCTTTGTCCCGGGATATGCAGGTGTTGTTGGCAATGAAAGAGCTGACAGAGTGCCTGGGTCTGCCATAGTTTCAAATGACCAGCCTGTGGATTGTGCTGATATTGTTAATGCCCTTAGAGAGATTAGACGATCCAAGGATTTTGGGAGAAGCATGTGCACATCACTGTAAAGAATGTGAGAATTGGGAGTTAAGATCAGCACAGCCAGGACTGAGAGGTACACCAGACTACACAGAAGACTACAGACTACACAGACTAGGGGGCTGATTGGTCTCAAGGCATAGCATCTGCCTTGAGTGCTGGAGGTCCCGGGTTCAATCATCACTGAAGGCTCGGAATCTTTCACACAGACTTCTAGTAATTTCTCCTGGTCTCTGGGTAGTAAGACCGGATGCTTGCGTGTATTATTGCGCACGTAAAAAATCCCTTGGCAGTTGGAAATTGAACAGAGTAGCCTAACGGCACTGCCTTGGCAATATTTGGAGTGGAAAATTTACCCAAAGTATTTCAGGATCCTCGCTGGTGCTACGGAGCTTGTGCACGGCACTGAGATTCTTTGGACTCAGGCCTGAGTTAGAAGTAGAACGGAGCACTTATGGGTTACCAGCCTTGTGCTATGATGTTGATGTGTTGTATAAACATAAACATAAAACTTAAACTACATAGAATGTTGTTAACCAGCATAGGACTGGCACTATTAACCATGAGTCACTGATGTTTACATTAAAGGGAGAATCTGAGCACTTGTGGACATGTCCTCAGTGCTGTGATCCAACTCATGACTAAGGTACAGGATGCCAGAGATCATCATCTTGTGCTTATCTAACAAAGTAACTTCTCAACCAAATCCTGATGAGAGAAAATAACTCTTGGTATTATAAACAGTGCCCTACATCAGTTTGAGCATATCACAGAAAACTGGTTATTCATTCTTACATGCAGCACAGTGTTTTCTTTTTACAAAAATAAAAATATTTTGCCTGTTTGATACTAACAGCCTAGATTTTTGTCTTTGTGGCTACTAACTTTTTGGGAATCTGTTCAACATTTTCTGTGGCTGAAAGAGTTAAAATATGGCTGTCTGTGAATACCTCATCTTCTTGGACAGTGGCCAAGGATGAGAAACAAGAAGTCTTCATGGTTTAAATAATAAATAAAAAAAATAAAGTTAGTTGTGTATCCTTTACAGGACATTGCAGAACCAACCCCCAGCATTTTTTGGCTGTTGTGGTTTTTCTAGGCAGATTTACATCCAGAAGTAAGCCATTGCTTTCTGGACGGTCGGCGTCCCGATACCACTATCTAAACCAATGCAAGGCCAGCAGCTGGGATCGAACCTGGCATTACAAAGTGCGTTTGCAGTGCCCATGCCACAGAAAGTTAGCCCTGGTGTTTGGTCATAGAACTGTTCCAGAAAATCAAAGCAGTGTTTCCTTGAAAATTTGGACAAGCAGTTACATTTGAGCACAGTGAATATATGTATGTTGGTTAAGAAGATTAATTTATTCATGCTTCTGTTACTATAGTAGACACCTGGCAAAATATGCCAGTTATTAAATTGTGCAATCTTTTATTTAAGTCTTCTTTGTTCAAATAGAACCAATTGTTTAAAATGTCTACAGTTTGTGTCAGTACGCCTAGTTGTCAAGCTGAACAAGCTGTCGGCAGTGCTCATGGGAAAGAAATATAAGTAAGTGTTCTTGTGCTGCAAGTTGACTGTATTAGTGATTAGTCTACAGCCTTTCATTAAGGTTGAGGTAAGAGTGACCTTATGGCAAAGAACCTTCAGAAGAGCTCATTGGTAAAACTACACATATTCTAAGTCATGTCTGTGTGAGGGGAAGCAACTATAGTTCGTTCAACAATAGATAAACACACTTGCAAGCCATTTTCTCTAAAACTGCTTGCAATGATTTTTGTGTGTGCATGCAGCCTTAGAATATCCATGACGTTAAGGACATATTTTTTCACTATAGAAGAATATTATATATTTTTTTCTTCTTAACAATAGACATTTTTATTGATAGACTTTTGGAAAGTTGACTTTCATTAGTTTCAGGAAGTAATGCCCACTATGACTGGTTTAACAGGGGTCAAAGGAAACCTACACAATTTCAGGATTTTCTCATGCAAAGTCGCACTCTTAGTGACCTCGCTCCAAAGTAAGACGTCTGTCAAGGTTGTTTAGTCAAAGGCACATCCACAAATAAGTGTTGAGTTATTGTGTCAGTTAGCTAGCTTATAGAAGCTGACATAGACATCAACTTCAACATGAATTTGAGATGCAAATTTATAACTATGCAGAAGGTTACCGTTTTACTGTACCAGCACTTCCTCAGGAAATCTAAGATGGATCATTTATTTTGTGATATTTATGACCCAGAGAAACAAACACGATTAGCACTTGGTCTGGATCATTTAACCGTTGGATTAGACAGGATACAGAGTACACTCATGTCAAGCAAGGAATGAAAAGAAAAGTTGACGACTTTGATGTGGGTTTCATTAGACGTGAGATCTTAATAATGTTAGAGACAAATCAACTTGCTACTCTCTGACACTGAAATTAACATTGAAATCACAATTCAGTATTAACATTTCAAAACGTCCTCCTCAAAAATAGACATTCATTTCTGGGAAAAATGTGTTGAACATGTGCTCCGAGAGTAAACGACTACTGGCATCAAGATGGATTAAAATTTGTTCAGCCAATAACCGTTATCAACCTTTTGGGATCGTCAGATTCAGAATGATTAAAACCATTTTTTCGTTGAGTGTTTTAATATCATCAACCTGTTAGGTATATCTACAATTGCAACAAATGCATCTCAATATCCAAATATGTCAACCATAATACAATTTGCTGTGCAGTTAAGATACACCATGGGGTCTAATGGTGACTGAAGGGGAATACTAACTATTGCATATTGGGGACATGTTTACAATTGAACAAGGCAGACAGATTGGCTGGATCTGCACCACTGGGTAGTGAGTTGATACATGACAAGGTAGATGTGGTCAAGGCCCTTTGGGAACAGGTAAGGAAGTCAGAAAAGAAAATAGATTATCATGGCCTGGAGAGAATGATACACCTGAGTGTGACCAGAGGGCCTGGCCGGCACACTACACTCAGAGGAATAGCAAGATAGGCATATAATCAGACTGCGTCCGGTACCATTAGTATTGGAATTCTGCGCTGACTGCTGAAGATGGGTACGGAATGCAAATGGAAATGCCCCAAGTGCTGTGATATCTTTCTTGACTCAGCTCAACTCAACCCAGTTGAACATAAATGACAACAAATAAAATTACTTCACCTATCAATGTATTATGAAGACACGCCTCTGACCAAAAAAAAATAGAACCGGAAATCAAATTTTTACTGTAAAATCTAAAAGTTCACTCCACTTTTTTACAATGGTTGGAAAAGATCAAAGGAATTGCCTGGTATTCAGCATCCTGGTCATCTATGGACTAAAGCATACCATTATTTATGCATCATGGATGTTCTAAGACTGCATGCAAAAAATCATTGTGATCTGACTGGCAGTTTTCCAGAAAAATGGCTTGAAAGTGTGGTCATGAGATGTTGAACCAACTATAGCTCTATTCCTCATCTGCTGGTATTTTCATAGATATCTTTGGAAACCATTTTATATGGCTAGGTCAAGCTACATGTATTTTCTCAGCTGGGATTTGAACTGTATTGGTGTGTCATAGCTTTTTTCTTCTGGAACTAAAGGTACCTGTATTCACCATTAAGTGTTAAGTAAACAAACATTTCCAGTTGCATTGGTATCAGTAGCACTCACTTGTATGTCCATCTGAGTGATGAGTTATTGCCAGAGACCCTGATCACTCCACATTGTATTATTTCCTCAGACTGTGCTGATCCATTTTTTCCTGCTCTGTAACAGAATCTGGCAATTAATGTCATAGATTTGTAATCATCCGAGATTTTAATCCAAAATCTTTGGTTAAACAAGTATTTTTTGTTTATAATACACACATGCAATATAATGCTCACCTCCAACAGTAACTCAAAATAGATTTCATTTTTTTTTAAACAATAGATCAATAAAATAATGTGTAAAAACTTGATCTGTAAAAGGGGGAATTTGATTTGCAAAGGTGGATCTGGTTTGCAAAAGGGTGGAATTTGCCTTTGCTAAGTCTATAAAAAAGTTTGTATAATATACATTTAGTATACAACTTAAATAGGGTAGAAAGTCTTGTCTGCTAAAGTGATTTGTTGAAGATTTATCAAAGCTGAATGATAGATTATTTTGTGTGACTAGATTGTTCAGGTTATAATGTTGTTCTAGTGTGCTTTATTTGTTTTTAGCCTTGAGAACATTGAAAGATTCCAGGAAAATGTGAAATGTTCATGATAATCACACAGACATGGGACTGCATCACCCACAATTTTGCCTACTGTCTGAATATACACACAGATACAGAGAAGGAATGGGCAAGGAGAAAGAAACAATAAGAATGCTAACTATTAAAATATGCAACAGTCAGGAATTCACTCTTTACTTCACAGAGAGCATTTACTTCACAAGGGTATTAGCATGGGTCAGTACTCAGGAGATCACACACGCATTCAAACTTTGTGACTGGGTGAATAAAGTGAATATATTAAGAAAATCCAAGCTGAGTTCATCAGATAAGAATAAATCTCAGTACTAAGCACTTTGCAAATAGCTGACCTAAGTTTCTTCTTTTTGCCAGGTCATGTGGATGTTCAAGGCAACAAGGTTACAAATTATTTTGCAGACATTGTAGTTGCTATGACTTGTCTAGTACTGGACCAAAGTGATGTTGTCACTATCATGCTCAGCACTTACCACAAAAACAAATGATGATCCCTTATCCCGTCTAGGCTGATGGACATGGGGGTGCAACCTAGAGTTGCAAGAAATTAACATTTCACCAAAAGGGACAGGACATCTGATTAATCAACACAGAACAGTCATCATCATTCCTTTTACAGTTGTTGAGCTTTAGAGGAGGAGATTGCAGCACCTGTGGATCTGTCTGGAGTGCTGTGATGATAATCCTAATTAATAACTGATCACTTTTCTTCACAGAGAGAACCCCCTGTTGAAAATGATGTTGACAGAGATCTGTGCTAGTTTTGGCCAGAGACCTGCAGCTAATGCTATCAGGTTGGTTTTAGCACTGGAATAGCTGCACATGTTTTACTGAATGCTGTGTGCTTGGGCATGAGGAAACATATACTATTGTTTACTTTTGCTTGAAGAATTAATGATTTGTTATCTTGTTGCAGCATGCAATGACTTTGTTGTGATTAATATGTTTTCATAAATATTATGGTTCTTTTATTTCATTGTAGTTAGAATCCTGCGAATCTTCCGCCTCAGAACAGGGCACAACCGATTACGTAACCACATGTACACAAAATTCAAGATAGGTGTATCAGCCATGTGCACCTGTGGAAATGTGCCCCAGACCGCAGAGCATGTACTCCAGGACTGCACCGATTTTGACACATTAAGGCAAACCTTTTGGCCAGAAAGAACAACAATGGAACGTAAACTCTATGGAGCACTGAATGAACTAACAACGACGGTGAAATTTATAAAAGAGACAAAACTGCTGATATAGATAACTTATTTCAGGCGAACGAAAGAAGAAGAAGAATCCTGCGAGTGTTGAGTTGTTCACATGTGTACACACTTTATGAATATTTTGATTTTGGTGATCCATTCCATTATGGTACGCTAGCAATACATAATTTCTGATAATCCTTCACAACTCTCCACATATTGCAGAGTCTGGATGTCGATTCTCTGTCACTATCTTGAGAAATTACTGTGAGTCTCTTGCAGTCTCATAGCATGCATAGTTTGTAGTTTTCTTAGCTGGTTTCATCTCTGAAGATCATGGTGAGTCCATTTGAGTGCATTTTCAGGATGCATTTGGACAAGTCATAAGCACTGTGCATGGAGAAGGCAGCTAGAGAGCCCAGTTGAAAAGATGGCGAGAGCTGCATGCGATAGCAAAGGATAGTACGACTTGGCCTGAGTTGGTTGACTATTCTCTTTGGGGGTTAGAAAGGCAGAAAAAAAATGATATGCATGATATAGTTAATTATGGGAAGTAAAGGCGGCTGGTGTAATGTTGACCGCATCATCCATCAAGTGCAGATTTGTCTATAAAACATTGGTCTAGAACCGTATGTTTGATGCCTGGTGGGGTGAACAGATTCTTTTACTTTCACTATTTTACTGCTAACTTTTACAGAGACAGTTTACATTGAAATTGAATTATATTTTAAACATCCTTGCTTGTTTATGACCCATGAAAATTATGTACATTAGATCACTCTTGCTACAAACTCCAGTTTGTCTTTGTTCACATCACAGACTTGATGTCAAGGTTGACCAGTTGATTGCCATTGGCGCCCCACGTTCTGATTATACACCAAAGTTGATCAACTCTGTAGGAGTGTCCAAGGAAGCCAACATATCTTTGTTTACTGTGTCCTTGGAAACCAACCCTCTGGACAACCTGTGTGATACTAGACTTCGAATCAGTTCCAGACCTCTTGAGATAATCTATGATGCTGTAAGTGTTGAGACTCTTTTGGTTTCTCATCGTCTGTTCAAGAAATAAACTATAGAACATATATCTCTTTCTTGGACTTCAGTCACACGTCACACCTTCTTTTAAAGAGTTAATTATGAGTACATGTTTGCATAGCTGAAGTTCGTGTTCCATGTTTGGTGGGAAATTGGCATCTTATTTTTAAAGACATCTGTTGCTTTTAAAAAAAAAACAGTTTGTTTTCAGTATTCTCCCTTTTGGACTGCAACACACAGTGGCTTCAAGAACCACTTTCCAAATACCAGTCTAACAGGAGAAATTCCCAGACACCTGATACAGTGATAACAAACAGCTATATTGGAGCAGCATAGATAACCTGCTGTTCTGTACGGATAAAGGACATCTTTTTTTAATGAACTCTTTATAGGGGTGGCTATTTCCTGATAAAGTCAGTATGAAAAAAAATCTAGTGGGATGTGTGTGTGCATGCATGCGAGTGTGTGAGTGTCTGTGAGTGAGTGAGTGAGTGAGTGAGTGAGTGAGTGATTGAGAGAGAGAGAGACAAAGAGAGAGAGAGAGAGAGAGAGAGAGAGAGAGAGAGAAAGACATGGATGTATAACATCCCCATACTTGTAATCGTGTAGGATAAAAGTATGAGAACAGTTAAAACATCAAATGGGGATGGCTTTTATAAATAAAAACAATAATCATCATGTGTAAAAAAAAAAAGCATCAAACTAAAAGACAAGGTATTTTGAGCACTTATATGATCTGTTTTTTTGTTTTATTTTGACATAGCAAACTTAAGAAATCAGGCATGCCAAAATGTCACTATTACTGACAGATTACCTCTCTGAAAGTAATGCTTTATGAATTTTAATGACGGATATTTCTTCATTGGCATCTCCTGCAAAACCTTCTTCTAGTACTGAAAGAGTTAACAAGCAAGGAAAACGTAAATCCATTTTCACACAGGTGGTGCTTCAGACTTGTGATGCTGGACTCAAATGTTTACATCGCCTGATGGGTGATGTGGCACTTTCCTGAACTTCTTGTAATCCAGCCAGCTTTTACATTCACTCACACTGTAGCCATTGTTACTTTAACTACTTATATCTTGTATTGAATTCCTCAGAGCCAAACATTAGAAAACACTAAAAGAGTTAATAACTCTTCATTCCTTCATTTGGATACATCAGTTTTGTTTATTAAATTCCTGACATCTTCTTTATTAATTTCTTATGTGAGGTTTGATTATATTATAATAATTCTTTTTCTTGTTTTTTTTTTTTCCCCTTACATTTCTCACTAAGCCATTTCCTTTCAACTTCATTTCACCGACTTGTTATTTCTCTTTAATCTTTTGAAATATTTCTTTCTTACGAATTTGCTAGTCTTTGTTTCTGTGAAGTCAGTTTTTTTTTTTAAAAACTTCCTCAGTTAAGTATATGTGCTTCGACTGCCATGACAGCCCATTTTTGAATTTTGAATTCCTGTTATCTCTGTTCTGTTGAACTTACTTCAGGCTCTACAATAAAACTGTGTATTCTATTTTCCAGGTCACAGTCAATGCACTAGCTACATTTTTCAGACCCCCAGAATCAGTTAAATTGAAACAGTGAGTATTTTAGTGTGAGTACTGAAATCCACATACATGAGTATAAACTAGTATTTAAGGTTAGCTCAGCAAATACTGATATTCCCACTCTACTACTGAGTATTTTATATAAGCTGTGCAAGTACTGATATTCCCACTCTACTGCTGAGTAAAGAAGATAAGCTGTGCAAGAACTGATATTCCCACTCTACTACTGAGCATTTTATATAAGCTGTGCAAATACTGATATTCCCACTCTACTGCTAAGTATTTTATATAAGCTGTGCAAGTACTGATATTCCCACTCTACTACTAAGTATTTTATATAAGCTGTGCAAGTACTGATATTCCCACTCTACTACTAAGTATTTTATATAAGCTGTGCAAGAACTGATATTCCCACTCTACTATTGAGTATTTTATATAAGCTGTGCAAGAACTGATATTCCCACTCTACTACTGAGTATTTCATATAAGCTGTGCAAGAACTGATATTCCCACTCTACTACTGAGTGTTTAAGATAATCTGGGCAGGTACTGACATTCCCACTCAACTACTGAGTATTTAAGGTAAGCTGTACAAGTACTGATATTCCCACTCTACTACTGAGTATTTTATATAAGCTGTGCAAGAACTGATATTCCCACTCTACTACTGAGTATTTTATATAAGCTGTGCAAGAACTGATATTCCCACTCTACTACTGAGTGTTTAAGATAATCTGGGCAGGTACTGACATTCCCACTCTACTACTGAGTATTTAAGAAAAGCTGTAAAAGTACTGATATTCTCACTCTACTACTGAGTATTTAAGATAAGCTGGGCAAGAACTGATATTCCCTATCTAATACTGAGTATTTAAGATAGGCTGTACAAGTTCTGATATTCCCACTCAACTACTGAGTATTTAAGATAAGCTGTACAAGAACTGATATTCCCACTCTACTACTGAGTATTTAAGATAAGCTGGGCAAGAACTGATATTCCCTATCTAATACTGAGTATTTAAGATAGGCTGTACAAGTACTGATATTCCCACTCTACTACTGAGTATTTTATATAAGCTGTGCAAGTACTGATATTCCCACTCTACTACTAAGTATTTTATATAAGCTGTGCAAGAACTGATATTCCCACTCTACTACTGAGTATTTTATATAAGCTGTGCAAGTACTGATATTCCCACTCTACTACTGAGTATTGTATATAAGCTGTGCAAGTACTGATATTCCCACTCTACTACTGAGTATTGTATATAAGCTGTGCAAGAACTGATATTCCCACTCTACTGCTGAGTATTTAAGATAAGCTGGGCAAGAACTGATATTCCTACTTTACTACTGAGTGTTTAAGATAAGCTGGGCAAGAACTGATATTCCCTATCTAATGCTGAGTATTTAAGATAAGCTGGGCAAGAACTGATATTCCCACTTTACTACTGAGTGTTTAAGATAAGCTGGGCAAGAACTGATATTCCCTATCTAATACTGAGTATTTAAGATAAGCTGGGCAAGAACTGATATTCCCTATCTAATACTGAGTATTTAAGATAAGCTGGGCAAGAACTGATATTCCCTATCTAATACTGAGTATTTAAGATAAGCTGGGCAAGAACTGATATTTCCTATCTAATACTGAGTATTTAAGATAAGCTGTGCAAGAACTGATATTCCCACTCTACTACTGAGTGTTTTATATAAGCTGTGCAAGAACTGATATTCCCACTCTACTATTGAGTATTTTATATAAGCTGTGCAAGAACTGATATTCCCACTTTACTACTGAGTGTTTAAGATAACCTGGGCAAGAACTGATATTCCCTATCTAATACTGAGTATTTAAGATAAGCTGGGCAAGAACTAATATTCCCTATCTAATACTGAGTATTTAAGATAAGCTGTGCAAGAACTGATATTCCCACTCTACTACTGAGTGTTTAAGATATTCCCTATCTAATACTGAGTATTTAAGATAGGCTGTACAAGAACTGAAATTCCCACTCTACTACTGAGTATGATAAGCTGTACAAGAACTGATATTCCCTATCTAATACTGAGTATTTAAGATCAGCTGTACAAGTACTGATATTCCCACTCTACTACTGAGTAATTAAAATTAGCTGTGCAAGTCTGATATTCTAACCCTGTCAGTGAGTGTTTTAACTCTTTCAGTCCCAAGGAACGCGTCATAGGTTAACAGGTTCCTACCTAGAAGATGATTTGGTGCATCTGTCTTACATCTCTCTTTACTACCCCTTGAGCCTCTGATGCTAAAAGGCTGGGAGTTAAAAGAGTTAAAGAACCCTTTTTTTTTTTAAGATATTTAGTTTTTGAAAGTACAGTAGAACCTCGCTTAACGAGCATAATTCGTTCCAGAATCATACTCATAAAGCAAAATACTCGTTATGCGAAACAATTTTTCTCATATCAATAAATGTAAATATGATAATGTGTTCCATGTCAAAAAAATACTCACAAAATGTTATGTATAATGTTTAATAAAAAAAAAATTATATACATAATGTTAAGGAGCGTGAATCTTAATCTTTTCTTCCACTGTGGAACGAACCCACCTGGAATGCAAATTCAATTTACAGAAAAAAAAACCTACATAATTATAATACATACCTAATATTTTTTTACTAGAAAGATGTCTAGAGACATTTGTTTTTGCTGACGCTTCAAAATTTGGCGAAAATGTGACACATTTAATATACAGTATCATAGCTAATAACAAAAAAAATATGTGTTATTTGCCTAGATAGTAGACGTACTGAGTTGAAGTCTCTGACATAAATATCCATAACATGCCTGGATAGTAGATGTACTGAGGTAAAGTGTCTCACAGAAATATCCATAACATGCCAAGATAGTAGACGTTCTGAGTTGAAGTGTCTCACAGAAATATCCATAACATGCCTGGATAGTAGACCCTCTGAGTTGAAGTGTCTCACAGAAATATCCATAACATGCCTAGATAGTAGACGTTCTGAGTTGAAGTGTCTCACAGAAATATCCATAACATGCCTAGATAGTAGACGTACTGAGTTGAAGTCTCTGACAGAAATATCCATAAAATGTCTGGATAGTAGACATACTGAGTTGAAGTGTCTCACAGAAATATCCATAACATGCCTGGATAGTAGACGTACTGAGTTGAAGTGTCTCACAGAAATACCCATAAAATGTCTGGATAGTAGATGCTCTGAGTTGAATTTTCTCACAAAGATATACATAACACATCTGGACAGTAGACACTGATTTTAATTTCAGTTTGTATGTATATTTGTTATTAGAAAATGGTTAATTTTATCCACAGGTTATCGAATGCAGCAATGGCAAAATATGACGAGATCATATCACAGACCACAGCTGGTGTTGTGTATCTGATGTCTGAGAGAAAATATGCAGACATAGAGGTGCACTTGATGCCTTCTTACATCATTTTGCCAGAAACAGGGGAACTCAAAAAGTGAGTTGAATTTTAATAGCTTCTTTGAGCCCATTACTCTTCGAGTCCCTGACAGTACTGCTTAACTCTTTGAGGCCCGAGCAACACTGTGAGCGTTGATTAAGAAGTTCCGTTTTGCTCAAACAATGCTGTCAGCGTCAGTTGTGTGTCCTGTACATATTGCTTCGCACACGGCTCCCTACTTGTTTAAAATGTTCGGAACTACCATTAAAGTATTCAGGAAAAGTTACTCTAACGATTTCCTTTCAACAACATTCCGTATCCCAAGCCACATGTGCATTGATTGATATTCACCTCTCTTGTGGCTGCAAAACCATGGTCAGTTGAGCATTTTAAAAAAAAATATTTTCTTGTGAAATTAACACCTGATAAATAATTATGTCCTACTAGATGTAACATTATTAAACATATACTTATCATCATATTCAAAATGTACATTCATTCCTCTTTAAAAAAAATATTTACTTTTGTAGGGATTAGAACTATATTACATTCTCTTTTGCCTTTTTTGTACACCACCCCCTCTGCAATTTTTGTAAAAGAACATTATTGTGGTCCAAGTCTGTTAAAATTCATGGGCCTCTCTTTAGCTCTCTTACTTAATAATAATTTAAAAAAAAATTATTTCAGTGATTTTTAATAGAACATATTTGTTAGTTATTAGCTATGTTACTATATATTACTGCTATGAAAGTAATGCATTGATGAATTTTACTTACACATTTAGTTTTGTTATTAGCATCTCCTACAAAACCTTTTTCTGGCTCTGAAAGAGATAAGCTAATGACTGCAGTCCATTTTTTCGGGGTGGAGGTTGTCTCTGGGTCCATTGTTACCCTCACTAATCCTTTCCCTTATCCCTTTACTATCGTTTAAAAAAAAATATGGTATGTTTTCTAATGTGTCAGGATTATATAGAGCCTTTAAGTATTTAATTTTAAACTCATGTAGCAGATTATAAAAGGCTCTCTTATAACTATGGAGGCCAGTGCAGTGACAGAAGCAATAACATGGCTGGAGAGACAGACCTTTACTCTGACATATTTTCTCAGTCAGTGAGTATTTTCTGGAAGATAGAGATGGGCTAGATCAGAAGACAGTGGTTGATGTCTCTGAGATGGTCATGGTTGACACAAGTCATTTTTGTGGTTGTTGCTAGGGGCTTGCAGTAAGGCTACTGTGGAGGATGGTCTAGGCTGATATGCTGAATATTCTGTGAGAAGTAAGATGTTTGTGGGAACCAAATGAGGACTGAATAGGCAACCATAGTCAGACTGCAAGAACAGCAAGTTAAACAAGGTTTGCCAAACAAAAATACTACGCAGGAAGTCAAATAAAAGTAGAAACCAACACTGGACTGGTTTCATCATCAACTACCTGCTGCAGGATTTACTAAGGAGAGGATTCTAGCACTTATGCCCTGAAAGGTTTGATGTACAATGAGGATGATTTGTCGACTAATGCATACACCTTCTTCGGGTATTTAATAATGAACAAAGGCCGTACACTGATTCAGAACTGAGCCTTGTTAATTTACATGACTCTAGCCTCCACAGTAGACCCTCCAGGTTTTCATTTTCAGCATAATACTTTGCCTTTTATGCTGTATATAATGTCAGGGTTCGTCCCTGTTATGGGACAGTTCAGTTAGATGATGATTAATCTAATCATGGTACCTTCCGATCCTTAGTGAAACTCACTACGTGTACACACACGTATAAACAGGGGGTATTGAACGAAGATGGGCTAACGCTCAGCGAAGCAGGTCAAGGCCAAGCGGATTTCACGCAGGCTGGTCAAGACCTGAACTGGGAAACGCAGAACAAAATGACTGTGCAGGCTTGACTCTGGACTCGTTCTTGATTGTGACTTGTGCTGTTAGCGAGACGTGTGATCGACTTTAGATTGTGTTAGATTTAGTGACAGTTCATTTTGACTTGTAGAAATTTACCGTTATATTTATTAGCTGTAACATGTTCTGTTCGTAGTGTCATTAAATGTATTTAATTCGTTACAGAGTAGATGGCATGTGTTCTATTTAGATCTCAGTTAGTATTTCATTTAAGGTAGTAGCTAGACTGTGTCAGTAGTTATAACTCTTTACTATAAGCCAGACGATGCATTGTTCATGGCGTTAGCACCGTCGACACACCTCTGAGCCCACATGTGGCGTGTGCCATAGCGTCTTTGGCATCGGGAGACAGCGGGCTGAGTTAGTGCTGTACGGGAGAGTGGTAGCGGCTCAGAGCTTATATCATGAACGTGTAAAGGCGCATTAAGCAATTTTAAAGTTTGAAGCAGCCTGGTTTCAGAATAAGGAGCGCTAACCTTCCTGAGGTGTTCCAACATCAAGTTTATTTCTTTGATAATAAAGATTGTGTGTGTGTTGCAACCAGTGTTTGGTTTAGATGAGTTTGTCAACAGTGTTTTCCTGTCATTAGCCTACAGCAGAGCCACTGGAATCGAACCCTAGACAATAGGATTTCTGACATTGTCACTGGGTATTTACCTAGAGAATTTGTTTCACTGTTAAAATTTATAATTAGATCCCCAATCTCAGTATTAGAAAACATACATGCATCATTAGATCCCCAATCTCAGTATTAGAAAACATACATGCATCATTAGATCCCCAATCTCAGTATTAGAAAACATACATGCATCATTAGATCCCCAATCTCAGTATTAGAAAACATACATGCATCATTGGATCCCCAATCTCAGTATTAGAAAACATACATGCATCATTAGATCCCCAATCTCAGTATTAGAAAACATACATGCATCATTGGATCCCCAATCTCAGTATTAGAAAACATACATGCATCATTAGATCCCCAATCTCAGTATTAGAAAACATACATGCATCATTAGATCCCCAATCTCAGTATTAGAAAAACATACATGCATCATTAGATCCCCAATCTCAGTATTAGAAAACATACATGCATCATTAGATCCCCAATCTCAGTATTAGAAAACATACATGCATCATTAGATCCCCAATCTCAGTATTAGAAAACATACATGCATCATTAGATCCCCAATCTCAGTATTAGAAAACATACATGCATCATTAGATCCCCAATCTCAGTATTAGAAAACATACATGCATCATTAGATCCCCAATCTCAGTATTAGAAAACATACATGCATCATTAGATCCCCAATCTCAGTATTAGAAAACATACATGCATCATTAGATCCCCAATCTCAGTATTAGAAAACATACATGCATCATTAGATCCCCAATCTCAGTATTAGAAAACATACATGCATCATTGGATCCCCAATCTCAGTATTAGAAAACATACATGCATCATTGGATCCCCAATCTCAGTATTAGAAAACATACATGCATCATTAGATCCCCAATCTCAGTATTAGAAAACATACATGCATCATTAGATCCCCAATCTCAGTATTAGAAAACATACATGCATCATTGGATCCCCAATCTCAGTATTAGAAAACATACATGCATCATTGGATCCCCAATCTCAGTATTAGAAAACATACATGCATCATTAGATCCCCAATCTCAGTATTAGAAAACATACATGCATCATTAGATCCCCAATCTCAGTATTAGAAAACATACATGCATCATTAGGTCCCCAATCTCAGTATTAGAAAACATACATGCATCATTAGATCCCCAATCTCAGTATTAGAAAACATACATGCATCATTAGATCCCCAATCTCAGTATTAGAAAACATACATGCATCATTAGATCCCCAATCTCAGTATTAGAAAACATACATGCATCATTAGATCCTCAATCTCAGTATTAGAAAACATACATGCATCATTGGCAAGTTTTAGAAATAGTGACTGCAGACTAACTAGACTGCTGACTCTTGTCTGTTTTTGTGTTAGGCTCAATCTGTCTGATTAAATCCACACATTCACCTGTAAGTACACACACATATATATGCACATACCTACACCTGACTCATAGAGACAGAAGTAACACAAACAAACAGACAGTGTAATGTCAGTTTCTTTCTGTTTGTCATCTTGGCTACATACAGAGATGTGAGGATGCTGTTGCTGAACCTGGGCTCACTGAACGTCACCAGCGAGAAGAATAAAGAGATGCAAGTGGGGGTTCAGGTGAGGCATCACCCAGACAGTTCCCTCAATTCAGCTGCATTATTTAGCCATTGTTCCAGTTTGTATTGAGGCATATTTTCCTCCCAAGATTGAGCTAGGTTCCCAGGTCGACCCAGCCTTAAATAGATACCAGCTAATGTCCTTGGAAGTAAAGGTCATGAGGATGATGACACCATCACTCACTGAGTTTTCATTGGTCTGTAACAGTATAAGTCTAGCACTGTACGCCTGCACCAGCACTGACATGGAAAGGTTCTTTTACTTTTTGGTATTGTTTGGAAATTGGGCAGCTGTGCTAAGCTCATTTTCATATCCCCATCGAAGCATTGAATTTAAACACAAACTGGCCTTCCTAGGAAAACCCAGTCTGAAAAGGATACCAGGAAATATTCTGGAAACTTATGGTTACAGTCAACATATTACCTAGTGGGTGCTTCTTTTCTTCTTCTTTGCATTCACCAGCTGTAAACTCCGGCAGATAGATCTGGCTCTTCCTCCCCCTCTAGAGTTTAGTCTGGTTCCAGAACATGAGTGTTGCATGCACATCCATTTTACAGATCTGACTTTTTTGTATATAGATTGTTTGTTTCTTGCCTCTCAGGCAGATGCACTCCAGATATGAAGGAAGCCCCACTTAGTTGACTCCTACCACATGCTTGTTGGGGAAGCAGTGGGTCTATTTTTGTTTTCCTCATAATGGGGCCCTGGGACACACACACGGGCTGACTGGTCATGAAGGCTGCCCTTATAAACTAAGTTATGCCTTGAGATGTAGAGAAATGGTCCTCTACTTATTGTTGATTATTTTATGTTTCTATATTGGGAGCTGTGGTAGCACATTATCTAGTGCGCTTGCCTGCCAACCCTTAGGTATGTCTGCAATTCTCCAGCAGGGCCTAGAGTTCTTTCCTCTTTGACCTGGGCCCCCAGCAGTCCTATCCTAGAGTTCTTTTCGTCTTTGACCTCCCCCCCCCCCCCCCCCCCCCCCCCCCCCCCCCCCCCCCGCCCCCACCCCCCCCCCCCCTAGAGTTGTTTTTTCCTCTTTGACCTGGGCCCCCCAGCAGTCCCATCCTAGAGTTCTTTCCTCTTTGACCTGGGCCCCCCAGCAGTCCCATCCTAGAGTTCTTTCCTCTTTGACCTTGGCTTCCCAGCAGTCCCATCCTAGAGTTCTTTCTTCTTTGACCTGGGCCCCCAGCAGTCCCATCCTAGAGTTCTTTCCTTTTTGACCTGGGCCCCCCAGCAGTCCCATCCTAGAGTTCTTTCCTCTTTGACCTGGGCCCCCCAGCAGTCCCATCCTAGAGTTCTTTCTTCTTTGACCTGGGCCTCCCAGCAGTCCCATCCTAGAGTTCTTTCTTCTTTGACCTGGGCCCCCCAGCAGTCCCATCCTAGAGTTCTTTCCTTTTTGACCTGGGCCCCCCAGCAGTCCCATCCTAGAGTTCTTTCCTCTTTGACCTGGGCCCCCCAGCAGTCCCATCCTAGAGTTCTTTCTTCTTTGACCTGGGCCTCCCAGCAGTCCCATCCTAGAGTTCTTTCCTCTTTCCTGTTTACTGTATAAAGTGTTGTTGTTTATGACAGTTGCTGCATTCACCTATATGCTGGGACTGTTTTGAAATAGCCATGGCTCTTGATGTGACGCAGCGGCTGTTAGGCAATATGGTGTTGTGAAGTGTTCAGAGACAGTCATCAGTTTTTTTTGTCTTGATAGCGGTGGAAGGAAACTGGAACATGTTGTGACCACTAGAAAGATTTATGGAAGACAGACACAGACCATAGAAAGACAATACAAGAAGATTCTTTGCAGCCATGTGTTCTGGCATGGAGGGGGGGGGGGGGGGGGGGGGGTTTAACACATAAAATTATACACACAGTTGTAGATCACAGATCGTGGAGAGGCATAATTGCCCATGCCAGTCGGCAAGGCACTTGATGATGATGGAGTGCCCTCAGTATGTGGAGACTGTGACAGTGTTAAGGCTTATTGTTGTTGACCTGCCGATGTTGATAGGAAATGTGTCTTGGGTGAATGGATTGTTGATGTCTTATGTAGATAGATGCAAGATGTTTAAACACATTGAGGCATACATAGGTGCACACACAGTCGCACATGCATATACTAACATATGCTCTCATGTCATACAGTGATGTTTATGCTCAGAGATGTGTGTGTTTAAACACATTGAGGCATACATAGGTGCACACACAGTCACACATGCATATACTAACATATGCTCTCATGTCATACAGTGATGTTTATGCTCAGAGATGTGTGTGTTTGTGCGTGTGTCGGCATTAACCTGTGGCTGTAGACACATACACACATATGAAGTATATACTTGTGCTACACACACTCACACAGAATGGAGACTTTTTTGTTGCTCCAAGGTCAACCCAGCCTTAATTGGGTACCAGGTAAAGCAGGTTAAAGTTAAAGTGGCCAGCGAGGTGTTGACCACATCACCCACAGAGTGCAGATTGGTCTATAAAATATAGGTCCAGCCCTATGTACTCAATACACCTAAATCATAAAAAATGGTGCTCTGCTGACACACTCACAGATACAGTGAGAGGGAGAGCAGAGCACTGTGCATAATTCAGTGACATCACTTTCTTTCATTGAATGTGCTTACTTAAATATAAACAATACAAGAGCACAGGTAGGAAGAACATATCATTAGGCTGGCAGCATTAGTATTAGGCTCCGTACTGGCTTTATGCAAATTGGCTGTGTGTGTTTTGTGATAGTTCTCCTCTTCATGTAAAGATTACAGACACAAATAAGTAGAAATGAAACTCAGAGCTCTGTTTTCTCGCATGTTCTTTCCTTTGCTCTGTGTCATTATATTTGTTCATTGAAAAGTTTAGTTAGTACCAGGACTTTTTCATCAGATTACTAAACCATGTAAATTGTCTAATTTTTTACCTAGCCTTTTAATTTCTTTATTTAAAGAATGTTCTTATTTTAAATTTTTGTTTTAAAATCAGCAGCCTTTCCAAAACTTTTGATCACTGTTCTGCTCTTCAACCTATTACTACAGTAAGGGTCCAGACTTATTGTCTATTCACAAGAAGAGACTCCAGGATGACAGAACTGTGCAGTTGTGCATACTCAGAATAATTTGATGAACATGTCTTCTAAGTTGTTTTTGTTGCTACCACAGAAGTCAATGACTTTTTCTGACATAAATGCCATCAATCTCAATGCTTATATCTACATATTTCAGATGTCACCCAAAGAGCTGGCCAATTATGCTTATGACAAGTTTAATGTCAGTTTAGAAAATGTGCAGCTGCTCTTTGTTCAACCAGGTACCAGTATTATTTGAACAAATATGTAGTTCTCTTTTTTAGAATTATAACTCAAAACTTCTTTTATATAAACCTGCCAGAAAGTAATCAAACTGAAATTTTTGTGGTATTTGTTATATACTGTGTTTTTCCCCTATCTTAGACAGGTAATAACAGGTGATGGAAGAAGTTAAGTAGAAGTCAAAGAAAAAAAATTACTGACATCTCGAGAGATAACAACATTGTAGTGGTACAGTGATGCAGAACATTCTAGAAGTTAAAATATGGCTTATAATTTGAGAGTAAAATAGGAAAACTTAATTCATAATAATGAAATGGAATAGGATACACATTAGGACAAGCCAGAGAAGAACCCATGTTTAAGGCAGGAGAGTTGAGTTACTGAGAGTGAATGCATGAGAGAATGTGTGAGTATGGGAAAGGAGAAGAGTCTGTGGATCATTCGTTGGACTGGAACCCCAGCTTAGAGGTTGAGTGTGAGATTTGTCTGACCCCAGAGTCACCTGAAGTTGTATCTGCAGTGTGCATCCACTGAGAGAGATGATGCTACTGTGTGTATAACTTCATGGAATGTGCTTAATAAACTGTGAACATCATTAAATAACTGTTGAGTGATTCTTGGAGGATGTGCAGTGTGCATCCACTGAGAGAGATGATGCTACTGTGTGTATAACTTCATGGAATGTGCTTAATAAACTGTGAACATCATTAAATAACTGTTGAGTGATTCTTGGAGGATGTGCAGTGTGCATCCACTGAGAGAGATGATGCTACTGTGTGTATAACTTCATGGAATGTGCTTAATAAACTGTGAACATCATTAAATAACTGTTGAGTGATTCTTGGAGGATGTGCAGTGTGAGAAATGTCTGTCTCCTCTGGCCTGTGGTTCATAGACACCAGCAGTAACCACTAGGCAGGTAAGGCAGGTTACTGTCATTATATAAAACAAATGGTCAAATACTAAATATTATCAACCTTGCTGTATGGCACAGAAAAATGGACACTGAACAAGCATTATAAAATCATATTGCATTTTGAGAAGCTGATATACAGAAGTGTTTTTGCATGGGGAAAAAAAAAGGTTCTAAAGAAATTAAGTATGAAATAAGAGATACAAAAGGAAAACCACCAGAATAAAGAAAAAAAGGCAAACTTTTTTGGCCATGTTTAAAACCTAAAACGCTTAAAAAAAATATTCACTACAAGGAAAGGTTGAAAGCAAGTGAGCAAAAAACAGACAGCAATTTAAGTAGGAGTATAACATCAAGAGATGAACAAATGGCTGCTTGAGAGAGTGTGCAAGCAGGGCGAAGGATAGTGTGTTGGAATCCATCTCGCCAATCCTTTGTTGTGAAGATGGCACTTGATTGATACTAAATTAAACTAGGAGTCATTATAGTAAAGTGTGTGCACTCAAGCCAGTATGGTGGTGTTAGATTTAAAATCCTCAGAAGGTTAAATATTTTGTATTCTGTATTATTGCAGTGGGTAGCAGAACATCTGTTGTTACATCCCATGAATATTTCCTCACTGACTACTTGAAGAGGGCAGTTGCATGCATTGAAGAGAATACTAGCTTTATTTTAGGTTATGGAACCTTGGCTTAAAACCTGAAAGCAATTAGGGAAACCTTGGCTAAAAACCTTAAATCAGGGAAACCTGATTCATAATGCCAAGGCAGATAAGGCCCTCCATCATCATTGGTAGCTGGTCTGGAGGGATGTTCTGACAGGTGGACAGACATAGCTCTTGTTCTATGGAGAAAGGAACCGCATCACTGGCCTATCACTAACCCTATTGCTATGGACTGCTATGTATTGCTAACATGTGATTCTCTTGTCACCATGTTGCACAGTGGAACACTATCCTCTAGAAAGATGGCACCTTTTAACATGGTAGCTGGCTGTTGTCTAGAGAGATGGCACCTTATAGCCCACTGGAACACTATCCGGAACGATTGCACTTATGCCACAGTGGAACACTATTATTAAGATGGCATCTTACAGCACAGTGGAACATTTTCATTAAGTAAGATGGCAACTTATAGCATGGTGGAACATTTTCATTAAGTAAGATGGCAACTTATAGCACTGTGGAACATTTTCATTAAGTAAGATGGCAACTTATAGCACTGTGGAACACTATTATTGAGTAAGGTGGTACTTTATAGCACAGTGGAACACTATTACAAGGTAAGATGGCAACTTATAGCACAGTGGAACATTATCATTAGGTAAGATAGCAACTTATAGCACAGTGGAACACTATTATTCAGTAAAATGGCACTTTATTGCACAGTGGAACACTATCATTAAGTAAGATGGCAACTTATAGCACAGTAGAACACTATCATTGAGTAAGATGGCAACTTATAGCATAGTGTAACACTGTTATACTGTGCTATCACATAAAAGGCAGTTAGTTTGATTGTTGTTGAATTTACACTTCAGTTTTAAAGGATTTACTTATTTGCTTAATTTATGTTATTGTTACTGTAGTATGCACCTGACAAAATACAGCAAAATATAACAGGCAATAAATTGTGCAATCTATTGTTTATTTCTTCTTTGTTCAAATTTACAGCGGGAAGCATAGTTTTAAATATGTTTTTGTGTGTATTTGTGTGAATCTACTCATTGGTTAAACTACCGTTTTCTTTCCTCTAGCTCTCTTTTATTCATTTATTCTACCCTGCTTTATTGCCATACTGCTTTGTGTTATGTCTTGGCTTTCTAATTGATTTTCACTCCCACTCTTATAGTAGCATATAATGTAACAATAACTTGCCTTTTATGTTTGGTTCAATCCGATTCTGCCGCCTAGGTGATACTTGGCAGAATGAGGCACAGTCTGTCAACTCCCCTCTGTACATCTTGCAGCCCATGTCCATGATACTGCTGATGGAGAAATGTATATTTACCAGTGATCCCAACTTCCCTGAGTAAGTTCTCATCTATGTGTTTTATTTTATCTGGAAAATATTGTCGAAGAATGAACAAACTTTATTTTCAAGAGTTTACAATTGGGCAAGTAAGCCAGTCTCACATTCTGCTAACACACATCTGTGTTTCTGCTATAATCACTGTTAAAAGTGATTAAAAGACATATTCACGAAATTTAAAAAGAAAAAAACATT